TGTGCAATCCCTAAGTAGTATTGAGTTTTAGGGATTCTGTGTCAGCCCAGATGAGACAGCTTCCAGCAATTTGTGTGTTACTGGAATTGGTGGGTCTTGAGCAGAGAGTGCCATTGAGCATCTCACCTCTGTTCATGCACTTGAGAAGTAGGAAGGAGGAACACGCTCTAGGAAACAGGAGTGGAGAAAGAAAACTGAATAGGTAAGATTGCCTGCCCAGTGGTTAGGTTGTAATGAATGTATGGACCGATTTTCTGGGCTTTCATCCAGAAGTTTTGCTGCATGTAAAACGTGCTCATCTGATGATTTGAAGCATTTATCTGCAATGCTGGGCCACTTCTGCAGGAGCTGGTTCTTGTACTGCTTAATGGCTAGATTCAGAGCACATGCAGCAAGGGCCTTACAGTGGAGTGACCTGAATGTTCTAGTAGTTCAGCCTAGGAAGGGGTGAGAAAAAAGCAAGTGGAGAATGTTTTTCTTCTCATTCTAATTCAGTGTCATAGCTTAACTTTAATAGTAAGCTGGATCTTTGTAAAATGCTAAAAATTAGTGTAATTTTGCAGTTAGGAAGCTGTATTTCTGCTAGTTCCTGAAGTTCTTTTGGTTAAACTTTTTGGTTTGAGTAATTGCAAGCTTGGGGTGCTCCTGTTTAGGCAGAAAGGACTTTATGTGGTTGCTAGTCTCCAAGAAGGCAGGCTTCCTACTTAAAGAAGTTGTAGTACTTCAATTCTGGTGTACGTACTCCAGAAAATGATTGCAATTGCTAAACCATACCTCTGTTTTCAGGTCCCTAACCCAGTAACTGAGTAAGCTGCCATGCAAGTAATGTCATCCCCTCAGAGCATTATTGCATTGTTAGAACTGATGTGGTGGATCTGTCCTATTTGTCTCCCTTCTCCCCCCTCCCCACCCAATATAGTAATTAGGCTTTGGACCATATTCAAGCTATTGGAAATACCTATGGTAAGAACGCCCTCAAGTTCAGTGTAGCAATGACACTGAACTTACACTGGCCTGTCATGAAGAAAAGAATTGTGAAACAGCTTTTCAGATGGGAATCTCCTATCCTTTCATCTGTACCTCTGTTGCTGTATCACAAAACTTGTAAGTGAATGGCAGTATAAAACTACTGCTCTGGTGTATTCATCTGTGGGGAAAAAGGATCAGGCTTATAGGGCAAAGTAGTGCAATTTGTCTTTGAAAGATAACTTGATACCTTGGCCATAAATAGATTGACTATGATGTTAGTATGGATGTTATCAATTCATTTCAAAGTCTACCAGGCTATAGTATTCCTTCATTGACCATAACCAGGCTCCATCCAATAGTTCAAGATACGAAAGTTGTTTATCATTCCAGTGCTGTACTAGGGTCATTGGTATTCAAATGCTTAGTAAAAAGTGACTTTAGCATTCAGAAGGGGTACCCAAGGCTTGAGCTGACTCATGGCACCTTCACGTGGCTTACCATGGAACTGCAGTCAGAAACAACTAGAGTTGCTGTCCTAAAGTGGACTACATGTCTTTCACCATTAAATTCCCTGGAAGAATGTACAGTAACTGATTGCATGGCAGTAGACCAACGAGCTCTTTATGGGCTGGCTTTTCTAAGTGGATGACCATTCCTTTTATACAATACAGCAAATACCTCAGATCTTATGCTATAAGAATTGATAGGAAGGAGTGGTTTTATGAGTGGTCTCCTATTCTAAGGAGAATACAGATACAAGAAGCCTATGCTACTACTTGCAGGTAGCATTATGATCATATTTTTGGAGTATTTAAATATTCATCTAGTATATTCTGGGGTTTTGCCGCTTCTTAGCTTGAGAAGCGTAAGGATAGTAAATTTCCATGGCATGAGGGGGAAGAATCATTTAAGTTATCATCTAAGTACTTGATTAAAACAAAATATAATTAAATGTACATTAATACCATACTTGCTTTCTGTTCCTCGTATCTGGTTCCCACCTCCGTTGTAAATGACTGTCTCTCTTAATTGGCTTAAACTTCAGAGGCATCCTGATTTCTTACTGTGAATAAATGCTTATTAAAACATCTAGATACAAAGAAAGTATTATCTGCAGAAGAGATGGAAGTAAAATAATATTGGGTAGATTATCAGTGACTATCATATAAGATTTAATTTCTTTTATGTTTTTAATCTTCAACTTCTGACAGCGTTTGGTTTATGGGTAGCAATGCTGGTGCAACAGTGACCAAAGAGCCTTTCCTTTATGATTGTGTTTGGATTCTGAGAAATATTTTGTTTCTGTGGCATAGGCAAACAGTGGTAGTACCAGAATCTTAAACACTGATACTTTTCCCCTGTGTTAAGAGAAACACAGCATACTTAATGGTAATAAGTGAGGGAGAAATAGTCAGTCTAAGATTATGACATCTTTAGCTTGGCAGCTGGAAGAATCTGAATAGCTTTATTTTGTAGAAATATAATTTCTTCATGGATAGACTCAATAAAAGTATTTTATGCTTATCTCCACCAAAATAGTAATTAATTTATCTATTGTGGATGAATTGATTTGTAAATTCATTTCAATGCGCTTTTCCTACACTTCTGTGTGTGTTTAGTCATGTGGAAAAGTAGAAGTGGATATATGACTTCATATTGATGTACTTCTAGCAAATGAATAGTAATAAAAGCTTATCCTGAATCACGGCTGTAGTTCTTCAGGTGAACTGTGTATTCAGTTATATCTTTGTGCTGATCAAAGCTACTTTGCTCATACTGGTTTAAAAAAGTATTCTATATTCTAGTAACTGTCATATTCCACACTTTTTTGCAATACCTTTAAAAGTATTTTACACAAAATTAATATTAAAGTCATAAATATATGATGACAGAGTAGAATTTAAGTGAAAGAATACTCTAAAGTTAATGGAACAAGATAGTGTTGTGGTTTTGGTTTAGAGAAGGTGTAAGTGCAGCAGAATGGGAAGAGATGTTAGTAAGCCACCTGTGTAGCTTTTCTAGAAGCTGCATTCACTCTAGTGGTGTTAGAGCTCTAGTTTTAACTTATTTGTCATAACTTGTCCTTCTTGGAACACTTTATTACATATCTATTAAAAACTGTATGGAGAGGTTTTTTTAAAAATAATTGTTGACCATATTTGGCAGACTTATCTAAGAAAAAATGAGGAATTATAAAGTTAAACCCTGCTTTACTGCCGCTGCAATTCTCCCTTGAGCTAGCTAACTTCTATGCAATCTACAAATAAAATCTGAAGAGTTGGACAGCTTAATCTTTGACCCAGCTAATGAGCTTCTGTAATCAAGGATGATGTCATAATATTTTGTACTGAAGGGTTGAACTGAATCCTAACAAACACTTATGTTGTTATTTGATATTGTGAAGTAGATGATACTGAAATAGTGTTGGTGGGGCAGGCAGGCTACTCGTACTAGACAGGGATCAGACTAACATAATTGTCTCTTTGCACTTGGTTTGGCTTTTTTGTTTGAGAGAATGTGGGGAAGAGGATATTAATAAAGTTGTAAGTACGAAAAAGATAGGGCACTGCTACTTTGTTGCGTCCACGTAGAATAGCAGAATGTCTGAAGCTGGAAGGCACCTTTGAAAATCATCTAATCCAACCCCTGTGCTCAAAGCAAGGTCAACAAGAGCAGGTTGCTCAGAGTGTTGTACAATTGGGTTGTGACTCCACAGCGTCTCTGAGCAACCTCTTCCCAATGTTTGACTGCCCTCAAAGTAAAAAAGTTTTTTTCTTATGTTTAAATAGCACACAATTAATATTCCTGAAAAATAAACCCTCTGCCATGGGGAAGAAAGCTTGAAAGGTACTACCACCTATTCTATCATCTGACCTCCGTGAGTTTTCATTCTTTCAAAGCCCAGAAGTTAGAACATAGTTACCTTTTTTCTTTTATCATTTCTCAAATAACATGCATTCAGATGCCAATGACAATAGGCAAGAAGTGTCCTGTCTCTCTTCTCAAAAGACTTACAGCAGAACAGATTAAAACAGTTTGTTATAGTCCATTCTCATTGTAATTTATAACCTGTGCATCAACAAATCTTCATAGACCCATCAAGATGAAGACTTCTGCACACAAAAAGGAAAAATAGTGGTGAAAGCTTGCAACTTAAATTTTGAGCAATTTTGTACAATGGGTGGAGAGGGAGAAAGCTCTAGAAGGTGTTGTTATAAGTTGCTTGCATAAAGGCTGTTATCACTTGTAAAGGTACCCACATGAAGGGTTCGCTAGAAGGAGCACTGTGCATCCCTACCAGGAACTTTTATTGCTCAGTAATTTTCCTGTACAGACTACTGCTACTAGCTCTTATTTTCAGGACAGTGATTGCTGCTTCAAAGGTAATATGAATGATTAAGAAGAATCTAGAAGAGAAACAAGAACAATCAGAAGATATGAATCGTCAGAACAGCCTAGAGACAAGAGAATTGAGGGGGACAAAGGGAAACAATTATATGTAAAGTGTGTATGTAATCTCTGGAATGGTGGAGGATGGGATAAAAAGAAGTAAGCTTAAATTTCAGATAGCTACCGAGACTGGATGTTACTAAATAAATTCAATTTACCTTATTCTTCAGAGTATCTAATGATACATTCTCATCTTAAGCAGTTGCTAAAACTTTATCTAGGATGACATCAGCATGGCTTAAAGGGGAGTAGATCATGTCTCGAAGTTCTTCACTCTGTAGTTTTGACCAAAACCAGACTGGTTATCATGGTATGAAGAAAAAGTTCTGTAGTTAGTGTGTATATAAAATGGAAAAGGTGGTTACTGGAGCATCTTGAACTGACGCTACAAATGCTTTCAAATTAATTGTTACTATCATCATCTTAAATGAATCAATAAAGGGCTTATCTGTTGCACTATATATTGGCTACTCACTATCCCCTGAAACTTACTGATTTGCAGCTTTAACTATCAACAGCATGCATGTTGAAGTTTGCTTAGCTCTTTTGTATAAGTAACTTTTTTGTTCTTTTTCTCCCAGTTTCTATGGAGATTTTGGACCTTTAAATTTGGCAATGTTATACAGATACTGCTGTAAACTAAATAAGAAATTAAAGGTAAGCTTTGTTTAAAAACAAAGTTCCTGTATTTGTGTTTTGAAATTCAACTAAAATGTATTATCCAGTGTGAAAGTGGTTGTTAGTTGCTCATTATCTAGATGTTTACTACTAAGCTTTAAGGTTATTCTTTGTTCTGAGTTCTTCTCCCTCTGAAGAATGGAAAAAAAATTAATATGCTCTTGTTGCTTAGCAGGTGAGGCACTGAAGGATGTGTTCACCTTTTTTTCATAACATTACAGTTTCAAGACAATAATAACAAAAACCACTCTGGATATTTCATGGGTTTGCAGCTAATGAAGTGGGTATACTAGTATGAATAACTAGGAAAAAAGCAAACAAAAAGCCCGTACCCATGAACAAGAACAAAACATGGGCCCTGAAGTCACACTACTTAAACTAAGGCTCACTCAGTGGAAAAGTTAAAACTTCTAAATCTCATTCAATTTTTTAAATATGTTCCTTATAAAAATTGTTATGAAAATGTGTTTTTACACATATAAAAATAGTTCCTTTTGTCTTGTAGAAGTGTCACTCCCTATCAGTTAACTTGCAGAAGCTTTCTTATTTTCTTGCTTCCATATAATGATTGTTGATTGAAGGTAATTTTGAGTTGCTCTTCACTAGAGATAGAAAATGTTGGTATCTTCTTTGGATGTCACAGTAGGTTTTTCTTTTGACTGCAGTGTTGGTCCTTTCTTTATGAAGTTGTCTGTCTGTAAATGCAGCAGATAATTATGAAGATCACCATGACTGAGTTTTGTTGTAACAACACTGTCTTGTCATAAAACCACAAACTTGATGTGGGCTGACCTTGGCCAGAAACTAAATACCTGGCAGCTGCTCACTCACTCTCACCCCAACCCCAGTGTGGAACAGGGAGCAGAATTGAAAGAACAAAACCAAGAAAAACTTTTGGGTTGAGATAAAGACAGTTTAAGTGGGGGAATAAGTAGTGGGGAGAGACAGGGCAGGGGAATAAAACAAGTGGTGCAAAGGCTACTCACCACCTCCCACCAGCAGACTAATGCCTGGACAGTCTCTGAGCAACTGCCAGTTTAGAAAGATTGCTCCTCAGTTTTATGTCTGAGCTTGATGTTATATGGTATGGAATATTCCTCTGGTTAGTTTGGGTCAGCTGTCCTGGCTGTGTGCTTTCCCAGCGTCTTGCCCACCCCAGCCTACTTGCTACTTCTCCCAGGCAGAGGGAGAAACAGGTAGCCTTGATGCTGTGCAAGCACTGTTTGGCAATAGCTAAAACATGGGTGTGTTATCAACGTGGTTTTAGTCACAAATCTAAACCACAACATCATGCAGGCTGCTATGGAGAAAATGTAACTCCATCACAGCCAGACCCAGTACACTGAGCACATAGCTGTAGATTTAACCTGGTCCCCAAATGCCTGTGAAAAAGTGATTTGCAGCATGTATAGAAGATTTATCAACTGTGAGAAAAGAAACAGATGTTTTAATTCCAAAGTACCAGTTAACATCACTTGTGTGAAAATACTGAGGAGACCCTTCACTAAATATTACAGATTTTAAATCTTTATAATATAAAATATTAGACCTGTTACTGACAGAAGGGGAAAATGGGAAAACAGATGCGATAACATTGGCCACTGTTAAGAGGATTCCTGTATCAAAAATGACAGTATATTTTGGGACTAATGTTTGCTGCACAAATTAAACCATTATGCAAGTTGATTCACACTATCTGCCACTTCCAGGGGCATGCGGACTTAGGTAGTCTTGAGAGGAGTTTCTGCAAATGAGAGGTTTGTAGAGTTGCTATAACCTTTTTGTGATAATTTACATTGCTTCTTAATACAGAAAGTTATTAATAAAAAAATGACACTAGTATTTCTAATTTTGAATGCCTTTATTCATTTTGGGAGAACATTGGATTTGTCATTCCTGTGTTAACATTAAATAGAGCTTATAAATGTATTATCACCGTATTTTCCAGTGGCACTGTCCCATTCAAGCACACAACCAATGATACTCACTCATAAGGAATCTTTTTTTTTTACCTTCTGCTGTTTGTGACCTTGTATTTGAGTTACTAAAGACTGTGGAGAATGCTTGCTCTGTGAAGCAGTTACTCCAGAGGAGAATCAATACTAAACCTACTATTCTAATTTTCACTGTACCTGTTCCTAAAATAAGAACACAACCAATAAATACCTCAGGACTTGTTTGTTTTTTTAATGATTCAGTATTAAACAGAATGTCTCTACAGTCTTCATTCTTGTTATAAGACCATCACTTGCATTGAATGAGGCAAGCTGCTTGTTGTAAATGGCTTGTAATCATGATGATATAAAGATTGTCTGTTATAATGGAAGAATAAACAAGGGAGCCAAATTGAAACTGAATTAGTAATTCTAATGTTTTGCAAGGTTGATTTAGAAAATGGTGATGTCATTTTGATATAACTTTTTTTTTTTTTAAAAAGCAATCATTCACAGTGCTAGGTGAAAAGTACAGATGGCCAGGAACAGGACAGAAATCTCATGCAGATCATCTGAAGTCTCAGCTGGGAGGAGGTGCTGTTTGTTGCTGCTGCCTTACCAGAGGCTAATTCCAAATAGGTTAATTTAAACTAGTAGTGCATAATAGAGAGGGGTAACCTGATAGTACAACCACTTGAAAGTAATGCCTGAAATCAAACAGGTAAAGGTTGGAATACCACCTGAGTGGTGTAGAAACTTGCACGTGAATAGATTCTAGTCTGGTTGATTTGCACTACCTCTGAGGTAGGTCAGTACCTGCTAATGTAAGCTTTGTTCTTCTAATAGCTAAAATATATGCCAGACTCTGTCCTAATTTAGATACCCACTGCAGTGGGTAAGTAGGCTTGTAAGACCAAATCCCAGGGATGAAGCATGCATCTGATGTGTGCTCTAGGCCAAGCTACAAAAGACTACTGCTTAGCTTAACTAGTTGAGAATTATGGATTGACAGTTTCTACCCTTTTACCCCTCACCTTCTCATGTCTGACATTAACAAATATCCCCGAGAAGATTTCTGATGCCTGAACTAGGCTGTGTCAGAGGTTCATGACCTGTGACTTACCTGCCAGCAAGGCATTGATGCAGTGAGCATCTGCAGCAAAAGTATAGTAATTCTCACATAGCAGCGGGGGGGGGCGGCGGCGGCGGCGGCACATAAGCAGTCTGTGATCAGAGTTTCAGAGATGGCAAGTGCTGATTGGGCTAACAACATGGAGAAGGAGTCCCGTTGGGCAACCTGCTGCTTGCATACCCTTGTATTAAGGGTAACAGTGCCTGGTGACCAATAGCAGGAGTTGGCTGATCATAGGAAGTAAAAGGCACTGCAGATTATCGTTCTCTGGAAATCCAGCCTCTGCTGTGGGATGGTTGCTGTTGCCATACTGCAACACTTCTGGGACCCCAAGGCAATCATAGTGCCTAAGCCCAGGTGACTCCTGCCATGATTTGGTATATTGCTGCTTGGGTATGTACTTCTCTTACCAAAACAGTCTTTAAAAGAAGCATGGCGCAAAAAAAAATAATTCACAAAACATGATAGTTTTTGTGTGGATGTGGTATCTCAAAAGGAATTTAAGACTTAGACTTTTATTGAGTTTAAAACGTCCATGAATAGGAACAGAAGAAATGAGAATATAAGATCTCTTGAAAACAAACCAACCCCATAAACTTCCCCTCCAAGTCTTTCAGCTATATCTATTTCTGTTTTGGGAGAGGAATTAGACATGGAGGCAGTTTTCTGTTTTCTCTTTTCCTTTCTTGAGGGATAGGTGAGGAAGGAGGAGGGTACCAGTTTGTACATGTGCTAATGGCAGACCAATGTTTTACAGTAAACTATTGTAACATTATGCTGACTGACTTTAAAAACAGTAAATAGTTTTGCATGAAGAGCTGAAAAATTTATTCAGATATCCTTTTACTGAGAAAGTTGAAGGTAAAGTCCTGGTTATGCTTTACAGGAGAACCTTTCTGACCTTGTTATGTTTGTAATGTTTTTATTGCTGATTGCTATGGAGATGATCTTGACTAGCCAAGCCAACAGCAAGAAAAAATGCTTGGCTGTGCTATCTTCCTACTTGTTCTTTGAATTCTGTTTGGGGAAAAAATGCTTGACTAAGCAACTGTGATTCATTTATGAAATATTTTTTTCTTCTGTTTAAATAAGTCTGATTTCATAAAAACTGCTTTTAAAAAAACCTGCTGTGTTTTATGTGAGTAGCCTTATACAATCTCAAATTCAAAATCAGGAGTAATCAGAGAGGGAGTGTTGCTGAGAAGTGATACAACTATGGAAGATCAAAGGCAGGAGAGGGAAGGTTCTGGAAGCCTTATGAACTATGGGGTTAATGTTTCTTGTATGCTAGCTGTATTGCTGCTGAATCACAGAGGGCTTTGGTTTAATATCAGTCAGCTGCTGGGCATATGCATGGAACTAAAGTAATTGCAAGCATCTCCTTTAGGACAGCTTAGATTTTGAGACAGGTTGCATGTACGTGTTTTAGTACATAATTTTCTATTAACAGTTTGCCAGCCTTGTATTCAATGCTCTTTGTATATATGTATTACATATATGCATGTATGTATATATAAAAATAGTTTATGCATTGATCCAGGCTTATTAAACACATTGCAGTAATTTCTTGATTGAACAATGCAAGTATATTAAACCATATCTATTATATAAAATACTGTCAAATAATCTGGTGATTCTAAACAGATAGCAGTCTAGTAATTGTCCACAATGGCACCTTCTAAGCCTGTCATCAATTTCTGTGCAAGTAAATCTCTCTTGAGGTCTTCAAGAAACAAGAACTGATCTATTATTAAAAAAAGGTAATCTTACAGTGAAAATAATGTGTTCTGGAACCCCCTCACATACCCAATCAGTTCTATCACCTAAACCAAAACCTGCCATACTTCTCATGTAACCTCTGCTTTTAGTTCAAAAGTTTGTCTTTGGGTCTATTCCCCTGGGGTATATCTTCACAGATACTATTCTGTTATATTGTTACATTTTTGTCTTCTAATGATGTGAAACTGCTAAAATTTTCTTACTGGTAAAGAAAAATATCTTTAGTGCATGTGTTTTGTTTTAAAAAAAAGATTATTTGCAACTATGTTCCTATGTTACTTCTAATACAGCTATTCTATAGATGACCTATATTTAAAAATTCCTTGTTGAAACATTTTTGGTTCTTCTGAGTTGCACAGTATCTGAAGGAACTAAAGCTGTAATGCATTCAGGTGGACCTCTGGAGCTGTAAAAACAGTCACCTTAAAAACTTGTCTTTAACCCTCGTTTTCATTGAACTTAGCTAAAGGAGTAGACTTAGCTTATTATACATGGTCAGAAAATCAATATTTTTAAAAATAGGTCATATAGCTTAGTATTGATACTGAAAGTGTACTGACTTGAGAATGTGGGTGTTTAATGGAGGCATTGCAGTGACACTTCAGCAAACACTGTAAAACTTAATTTTCTGTAACCTGTGTGCAAATACAAACAGTGGTTCTTTTTATAGGCTTCTGAAAAGTAAAATCCTGGTGCTGTTTTCCTGGTTGCTGTGCTATAAGCCATTAATTAATGTCAGTTTTCAATTTTGTGTTAAAGCTTTTACATTTAAATGTTTAATATAGCAATATGGCTCATCAGGATTAAACCTCTACATTTTGAAAATGAAGCAGTGAAAATGATACTGCTTCCATTTAAACGTTCTGGAAACTTCTAAGGTGAGCTGTCACTTTTTGACTACTTCAGGTACAAAAGCGTCTCAAAATTTGAATGATTTGACATACCCATATGATTAAAAAAATCCATTCTGTAAATAAAAGAAGAAATATGGTCTTATTATATAGAACTTCTGGCTAGCTAGCAGAATGTGGTTTTTGCAGTTTAAATTATTATTTCAGGTGAACTGTAAACTATTGCAAAGAACTTCTCTTTAAAATAAGTAGTAGTCAACAAGTTATAATTGAAGTTCTGTCACTGTTGCATAACTCCTGCAATCTTATCCCACCTACACATCATGGGTGGAATTGCAGTTAGAGAACACTAAAATTAAAAAACTGAAGAGGGGGAAGAAAGGAGGGATCTTAAAATACTGGGATTAATTTTGTCAAGTTTTAATAATAATTGAATGCTTCAATAATTAAATAACTACTCGTGCTTTGAATGTTTGCATATACACTGAGGGAGATGTTGCTGTTGGTCTCAAGATACAACCTCTTCTCATCAACAGCAACTAGCTATCAGAGGTTACAGTTCTATTTAGATATACCTAGTTGTATTAACTCTCACTCCTTCCACTTACGGAAGTTGTGGGTAATAAGACCAGACTGGAATGTACAGTTAGAACTGCTATTAAAGGTACTATTTCTGTGGGGGGTGCACTGTGGTACATTGGTTTTCTCCTGAGTTGATCGGCTATTTGGTTTTTTTGCAAAATTTGATTTTGTTGTTAAAGCTGTCCTAAAACTTGCAACAAGATTTAAGATGAGAGTCAATGTTTACAGATTTTTTTTTTAAAGTGAAATACAGTTGGCACTACTTCAATAAATAAACCACAATTCTGCAGGGGTTACCTTATCTCCCACCACCAAGTGTCATCAGTGCCAAGAGTAGGAAAAGAAAGTGAATTACAATTCTCAAGTTGGAGTTACAAGCTGACAGCACTGGTATAAAGGCGGTTTATAAAACGTGCAACTTTTAAAAATAAAAATGTGGAACATTTCTAAAAATATTTAGAAGCAGAATCCAGTATGTCTGTTGATGACTTCCTCAAAACTGTAGAAATACCGTAGAAATCTGTCAGGGAAAATGTGAGCGATAGTGTTGCAGAATATAATGAAAGTGTAGTAATTCATGAAGCCAAAAACAATAATAATGCAATAAACTGTCCAACTTACAATTTTTAAGTGACAATTTTATCTCTCTCTGTCTTTAACTAGTTTTGCTGCAGTTTGTCATTATTGTTCATTTCTGTTGCTTGTTGGTTTTGTTTTCAATGGGAGTTTTGTCCACAGGATTCTGACAGAGGCTTCCTTTCTTCCTAAAGAAAGAAGAATTGCAAGTGTTAATAGTTTTGTCTCTGCCTAGCCTTTTTTTCAGGCTTTTAATTTGTGCAATTATTATTTTTTTAAAAATAAATTCTTGCTGTTGAAGCTTTCTAAAGATGTCTGTCACCCCATTTTTAGGTAGTATAGATGAAAAGTGGTGTTTAACTTATAAAATGCCTGCAAGATTGATTGCTTCAGTTTTTCTCTTGTCTTCACAGAATTATGTGCTAAAGAGATTTAATGTATAGGAGGGTGTTTTGGTCTGAACTTTCAATGTCTTTAATCAACTTTCATAAGCTATTGTTCAAATATTTAAACTTGGAAAAAAATTTCCAGTATTTTATATTGAACATTTTGGTTTAACTGCATTTTATAGGATATTTTTGCAGAGCAAACTAAGAGATCTGCCCTGATACAGTGACTGTTTCCCTGCACTCTTATCTATAATGTAAGAAGATTGATTGTGGTATCAGTAATTTTTCCCCTTTTATTTTAAGGAGATCTCTATAAGAATTTTTTCTGACTTATTTTGGAAAAGGAACTTTTTAAAGCGTATTCTTCTCTCAGTAAATATTCTGTGTTTGTTTTGTTTTTTTTAAACAGTATTTCAGTCTATCAAGAAAGAAGATAGTATACTATACAAGTTTTGACCAGCGGAAACGAGCAAATGCGGCCTTTCTAATAGGTGCATACGCTGTAAGTATTTATCACACAGATACCTCTAACCTTCCTTAAGAGACATCTGCTGTGTGTAAAATAGCATCTCAAGGGATGGTCCTTTAGGGAGGCAGGCAGATTGTCATTTGATTCCTCTCTAAGCGGTCTTTGAACATTCTACTGTATAAGTTTTAAGGAAGCCCTGTCTTTGGCACATAACTCTGGCTTTGGCGGATCATGTGTGTGTTTCCCATAGGATACCATTTTCTTGAATGTCAAAAATGCACACCACAAACTTGCCTCTAAACTTGGCTGTCTTAGGATCAATTCCTGCTTGTGGCAGTATTGAGATTCATACTGGGGAGGAGAAAGCTTTTTCTCACAGCCTTTCTTAAAGTTACTAGACCAGAGGCATAGTGACTATTGGATGGATTTCTTTTCTCAGTTAATTTTCATAGCCTACTCAGAATAATGGGGAAAATGAGGTATTTCAGCCTTCTAATATTACAGATAATATGCAATATACAGACCCATTTTAGTTACACAAGCCTAATTTATTATGATATCACATAAGTTTTGATAGTCCCAAGCTCACACTTGCACAGCCACTTGTGTGTCTTCATAGCAGTGTAGCTCAAACTTCAATTTCACCTTCTTACTCTACTGTCCAGAATTGGAGCACACTTGTAGAAAACTCAGAGTCTTTGTGATAGCATGTTTTACACTGATAAAGTATTGAAACTAACAAGCTGCTGGTCCTGAGCTGACATCCATGTGGTCAGCTGAGTTCTGGAAGTCTCTGTTAATTCAGGCTTTATACTGTGTGAAAGCTGGTGTATTTCTTTCAGGCCTGAGGTCATGCTGAAAGCAAAGCTCAGTAAATGCAGATGATAATATTGAAAGAATTTAGGTTGCAGATTCTCGTAATTAAACAAAATGTTTTACTACAATTATGGGAATAGTGTATAAATGCTCTTGAGAAAGAAGATCTATTTACAGAGGGAAAAGAAATTGGGGGTAAGTTCGAATTTTAAAAATCTTTGGGTTAGATTTTTAACTCTTAGGAGTAGAACTGATGGAATAACCGCAAAAGGAATAGTAAGAACAAATGAGTTAGAGTGTTCTAAGTTTGTTAATTTTTTTTGATGGGACAAGGCTATATTTAATAATATAATCCTGTATTTTATATTCTGTTTAAGGAGCCTTCAAATTTAATAGTGTATCTTTATAAGCTTTACTGTCCCTTCAGATCTAAAATCTGTCTGAAGTGTAGCATCTTCAGTAATGATTCTCACACTGTAATTTGTGAAGAAACTTTAATCATTCCATTCAGACTGCTTTTTGGTTTCTGTTTGCATCATTATATTTCCAGTTCTGTATTAAGAAAGATTCACTTCATGTTTTAAAGCTGGTCTAATTAAGCCTATAGCTAGAGAACACTCATCTAGCACATGTGTAGATTACAGCATCTAATTGCCTTCACTGGCTTGCCCTTGTCTGATCCGGCCTTCACCTTCCAATACATCTTAGAAGCCTTGGAAAGGATAGGACACTGGCATTTTGAAGGGGAGGAGATTATCTTTTTATTCCTCTTGTCCGGTCCTTGTTATATGACTATCTCAATTAAGTAGCTGTTCTCTGTGGATAAGGGGTAGAAGGCCCTTATGAGTATTAGATAGACCCAAGGAGAGAGCGCTACCATCTGTCAAGAGAAGTTTTTGTGAAGCCAGGTTGTAGTAACAGAAAGGTAAGGAGGTACACAAAGTGCAAGACAGAACTCCAAGCAGAGGACTGATCAGCTAAATTAGACTATGCCATATTTACAGTATTTAAGACTTAACCATGGGAACAGTCTGGTATATTTGGTAGTCCTTGTTTGAAGGAGCTGCACAGCAGCTAAAGCTAGGGATAAGGGCACACACATGGGGTGGCGGGGGGCGGTCAGCCAGTAGAAATTAGTGTGCCACAACTGTGTGCACATTTAACCCTTGCCTAGCCTGTTTTAGGCTGCTTATAGCTCTTAATTGCTAGCATATGTGAGTGATCCACATCTACATTTGATACTGTTACTCTGTCACTCTAGTAGATCTTTTCAGTATCTTCTGATTATTGAAGATATTATGTACCAAGAATAATTCTTTACTAATACAGTGTTACCAGTACAAAACAGTAGTCATTCAGTTGTTGAAAACACCTTATAGTCACTTTCCAATTCATCTCAATTTAGTATAATATTGGAAAACAGTTTGCACAAAGGTATCCAATATGTTACATAAGTATGTTATCCCAGGATAATTTCTATAGATGTGTATTCCTAAACTTGCAAGTGTTATGGGAGTTCATTCACCATCTTCTATAATGATTAATACTAATGCCAGTAAATTCATAAAATGGATGCTTGTTTATTCTAAAAAGTTATTTATGATCTACCTAATAATCTGATTTTTGTTTAACTGCAGAAGCTTAGCTTTTGTAATCCATGCATATTCATTTCACACACAATAAATATTTGCATTTTTTTGAGTGTTTTACCTGTAAATGCTATGTTCAGGCAGATGCAGTAGATGTGCGGTCTTGGGTTACGTGATAGGGTGGTTCCTGACCCGAAGGAATCTAATCATATTCTTCAGTAAAAGAACTGTGTGTAACTGGCAATTTGAGGTATTACAATTTGAATATCCAAATTGTGATGGAAATATATTACTCTTTGATTTAAGGTCTTCTAGGTTTTATGTCTTAGATTATATGAGCTTTTTGAGACTAGAAAGTCTTCTACTATGAACTCTACCAATGTGTGAAAGTTAATTGATAAGGCTTGTTCTATTTGTCCTGGTGTTAAAATATTAAGTGTAAAATGAAACGTGGAAAACGGTGGATCAGGTTCTAGAAATGGGTTTCCAGTGGCGATTATGCAACTTAGATTGTTCCATTAAACAGCTTCTTAGACATGGTGTACTAAAATACCCTATAGCTATTAAAATATTTTGATAAGGGAGTCATAAGTTTAAGCGAGAGTTAAGTCTTAAAACTTTATTGGCAATAGGTTGCCTGTTTGTAAATTGCATCTTGGGAAGATGTGTTTTCTAAATTTCAGGTTTTTATAATGGACTTTCAGTACATCTGGGCTAGTGGCATCTAGTTGCTAAATTATTGTCCTCACTCTTAAGCACTGTGCAAAGATTACTTTTATCATAAAATTCAGATTAAGAAGGAAAAAAATAAAGTGTTACAAGAACAGAAGAACATGCAGGCTTCTCGGATCTTACAGAGAAGTTCAGAGTTTCTCCTAAATGGGCAAGGCTACAACACAGGCTGTTCAGTGATGTCAGAAACAGGTTGCTACTAGGTTTTGCAGTCTTATCAGACATCACAGAGAATATTTTGAAGCTAGCATTGCTTTGCTTTTCCCTTCATCTGTTTGGAGGCTTATTGTAGTTGTTAGGGTTTTTATGTAGTCTTCTCACACTATTTAGTTAAAAAAAAAATCTTTAAAACTATTTTTAAAATAGTATTAGAAATGCTGTCATGCATACCAAAATTAAAGTAGCCTGGTTTGTCTCAGTTTGTTCCTAATAGTTTTCTGTCTGAAGGGGAGAGGGGCGAGAGGGAGTAGGTTTAACTGAATTATACTGAAATGATTACATGAACTCCTCACTTGTCATCAGAGAATTCATACTTGGAGAAATCGTGAAGGAGAGTGCATTTTCCTCCTGTTTGATAACATATGGCTGAATTGGGGGCTGGATCCCTCTTTCCATATTTTTAAGGTATTTGTTGTATTTGTTTTCTGGTTGGAAACTGAGGAACCCCCACCTGGTTGTGTACTCTGCTATCTAGTAAGGTTTGAATTCCCTGGGGGAGAAGAACAGGAGGAATACTAGTCTGGTTGTACCAGTGACTGCTCTTGTACTTTTAGAGAAATGGGGCAGGGGGAAGAGAGAACATATATCATAGGATATCCTGTATTATGTAGCATTTTAGTGGAGTCTAAAAAAACCCGTAAGGATCATCGAGTCCAACTCCTCGCTCCATGCAGGACCAGCCAAATCAGAGCGTATGACTGAGAGCGTTCTCCAGATGCTTCTTGAACTCAGTCAAGCTCAGTGCTGTGACCACTTCCCTGTGGCACCTGTTCCAGTGCCCAACCACCCTCTCAGTGAAGAACCTTTTCCTAATATCCAACCTAATATATGTATGATACTTGCTCCTCCTGGTAAACCTAGAGCTTTAATTCTACCCCTGTAGCAGACAAGTAGTAGTTACCTCTTGCAGTTCTTCACAACCTGACTTTTGAGCAGTTTGGTGAAACGTAATGCTTTCATACTGTGACAAACTCTGAAAAAAGATCCAGTGAGCACTTTTTCTTCTTCCTTGTAGATAGCAGATGGGCTGGTCATATTCTTTTTCACAACTACTTTAAGTGTGTAGTTTGGTAGTAATAGCTTTTATTAGATTTCTGTAATGCAAATAAGGGGGGAAAGCTGTTGAGTCCTTAAGTTTGTAATTTTATCACAGGAAATGACTGGGTAATAGCAAACTGCTATGGCATGTTCAGTTGTTTGCTTGTAGGAGTGCAATAAATATAAACTTGTTAGTCCTACTGAAGCTTTGAGGCTTTGTTCTCTTGTAATATATCACACTACTGCTCAAATCTGTAATCTTTCCCTTGGAGGGTCAGCAAGCACAAAGGCTTTTCAGTTACTGCAGCGTGTACAGCCTCTTTCCTGTTTGAAGCAACACCTTTCTTCAGATTTGCTTCACAGAATTCTTGTGATAACTTAGCAACTCTAGTGTGGATCTGTTCCATATACTTCTAATTCAAAAATGGCAAGTGCAGGTGGGAACAACATGAATCCAAATTTAATTTGAACTATTGTGGATGATTGTTAAGGTGGACTATTAAAATACTAATTCCCTTTTTGTCCTGTAAACTTTTTAGGACTTGTGGTATGAATTTTCTTGGCAGTGTGTGTGTGGTCAGTATTGCTACATGCCATGTGCCTGTGTAGTGTCCCAACTGTGGAGAGCTTTAGCTCATAACTACCACATAATTATTCAGGAAGTTGAGAACATAAAAATGGAAATATCAGAGAAGAAAATCTTTGTAAGTTTTCAATATTTGCTGAATCTGTTTTTTACAGGTAGCAGTGCCACATAATATGAATTAGAGTGGTGGTGGTGGGGAAAGGAAGAACCACTTTGTCCCTTGTAAAACAACTCTTGTAAGAGTAATAGTTGCTATTTGGAAAGTGGCTTTTTTTTTTAAAAGCTTTTACTTGTGTTATTTCTTAGATACAGGTTGAATTTATACAAACTCTTCACTACAGGCTCTTTGTGTTCTGCTTTTTTTTACTTGTATATGTTGCAGAATGAAAATACTCTGAAGATTCATCAGATTAAAAAAAAGAAGCTAAGTTTCAGTTACTGAGTTTTCACTGGTAAAGATGAGTCAGAAAATGGTCTCCTGGGGTTTTTTTAATGGATATCACTACTTTTCAAGTACTAAAGAAATGTACTGTAGTGTTTCCTTTTCCATTTCATTACCCTTTCTCCTTCAGTTACTGCATTGTTCTTGACATCTGTGATACTTTTTTTCAGGAGCTCTGTTCAATGTTTGTTTCCCTCTTCTCCTTCCTTTCGTGTTCTTAATATCTTTTTCCTCTTTCCATCCTGGTGTCTTTGAGCTTTGAGCTTTGCGGACAGACTACCAGCAGCATTTGGTTAAAATGTCATGTATACCTGTCTTTGAGTAGAGACAACTTTGAAGTACTGTAACTTCTGTGATGTAAGAACTGCAGCATTGGGAAAACATTCTTATAGTACAAATTTGCCTGTACTTCAGATTTCTGACTCCCTACTGTGTAAGGTGGAAACTTGTCTTTCCCTGAAGTCCTCTAAACTACCCTCTAAGGATGTTTTGACTATAAGCAGGAATTTAGACTTTACATGTAAGCTAATTGACATGAGTATTGACATGAATAAAATCAGTATTTTTCTCTGAAATACACCCAAATCTGTTGCACAGGATGGATTGTTCTTAAATGCAGAACCTTTGTGGTGAGGGGGACTATAAAGGAAATATAAAGGAAGTTTCTTTCACGGACTAAAAGAATCTTTTACAAATGACTGTAAAAACAGAATAGCATTGCTGTGCTGCTGGAGTTGAAAGCATGATGTTTGTGCCATTAGTTAGCAATTGGTGCTGTAGACAGACTGTTACATCTTAAAAATAAATGGACCCCTCCACTTTTTGAATTATGAAAATATATCCATTAAGTAAATCTCTGGTTTAATATTAGTTGTTACTGGTTTGACCCCGACAACAAAGAATTCAATAATTGAGTTAGAAACAACTGTTCTGATAGCACAGAATAAATTGAATGGTTTTCATATAGAAGTTGTGGTCTGTTTTGATGGTGGAAGGTTTCAGGAAACCTTTGCTTTCAAAGGTTAAGGAGCGGGGAATATGGAAGCTTGGGCAAATACAGGGTCATTAATGTTAAAACCATGTAATTTGGGCACTTGCTAAATGAAACAGCACTATTGACACTGCCACAGTATTGAGACTTAACATTTGAAAATATGTGGAGTTTCTTCCACTTTTTGGGTACTGAATATACTGATCCATGCTATGGGTGTGACCATGATGAGCAGAGCAGCAACACTGGAGGCTGAGGCTGAAATACAGGTCCGTGCCAGGGAATTGATCTTCTGAACACGAATCAGTTTATGTAGAGGGTTTTGGTCCAAATTAGACCAGTTGTTCAAAGCAGTGAAATAGGTGGTAGTTGAAAAACAGCATGTTTCTGGGCCCTCATTTCATTGCATCATGGCAAAGAGTTTTTCAGACTATTTTACCTGAGTCAATTTTTTTTGTTGTTTTATCCTTATCTTGTCTTTTCTGTCTGCCTTGTCATTGCTTGAGGAAGAAATGCAAGAAAGTCTACCTACCATTTTGACATCTTACAGAATACTAAGAATCCTATTGAGATATGACTCTAGACATAAAGCAAATTGCAAATATCCTGGGAGTGACCACCACTTAGTTGTATTCTAATGTGTTCAAGGTCAAAAGTTGAATAAAGCTTTTAGATCAGGAACTGTCCTGTCTTGGCTAAGGTTATTATTAGAATAGTTTATATTTAATGGTTGAATTTTGGTAGAGCTAAAAAATAGCTGTGTAGGTGGTGGTTGTAAGGTGAGTTGGGGGGAAATGGCTAGAAAAATTATATGGCTTTGTTTACAAACATGTTTGTGCACATGAAATATGCCACTCTAAACTGGATTAAATATTTTTTTGTAGATGTACTTGCTTAGTATCTATTCTAAGTTAAATTTATTTTAGGACCAGCTTTACTGTACAAATAGGAATTGAAAGGCAGCAAGATGTGGTTGTATTTTACTTTCGTAAGTAATTAGGCTGAGCTGATAGTGTTCAGCTATAGCAGAATGAGCCTTGGCTTTAGGTGTTACACTAACTGTATGTTGGTCTCATAGTAACAAGTTCAGCTTGTTGGATATTTTTGTTAATTAGTAGTTTGGTATCGACAATTAGGAATCAAAAAATATTTGTGCTCGAAAATCTTCTGTTGAGCTGTGGTGGAGAAATGTTTCCTTTGTGAGCTCCAGTGATAACTGTGCTTTTGACTCATCTGAAATTGGATACAAGATGCATAGATGCCTATTTTTCATCTTAGTATGATGTTGAGTCCGTCTTAAAGTCTCTCAGTTGCAGCAATGTGATTTTTTTTTTTAAAGGAGGGGAATGACATAAAACAAAAATCCCAGTTTCTGTTGATTTCTGAATCTTTTACTTCATGTAGGTATATCTTTTTTTGACCTATAAATGTCATAAGTTGGCCATAAAGGAGTATAGTGTACATTCTTAAGAGTTTAGTGGGCTGGGGGAAGCACACATGTGGTTAATGACTTCTCAGGCTCAGGGTTTTTTTGTTTTTTTAGGTAATATACTTGAAGAAAACACCAGAAGAAGCTTACAGAACACTTTTGTCTGGATCTAATCCACCATATCTTCCATTTAGGTATGTGAACAAGAGAAATGGGCCTAACTTTTGTCTTTTGGAATTTGCTAAGTATAAATTTTTCAGATTGCTTTCCCAGAAAAGGGTTTCATGTCTGATACAGATGTTGTATCAAAATGACTGATCTCTAGAAAAAATGTTTTTTACTTCTGGTGGAATTACTTGCTCTGTGTTGGAATAATAAAGCTATTTTGATTGATTTAAGTTTTAAGTAATGCTCCCAGTCTTTCAAACTGTCAGGTTTAAAAAATAGTTCTTAAAGTATTTGTGATTTAGCAATTAAAACTTTTCTTTATGATGTATTGTGTTTTACTATTTGGAAGTCATTCAAATCTTTTAAATTACTATTACCTAACCAGCTAGACTTACATGAATGAAGGGGGGTTTATGCTGTTATGTTTTCTCTGTTTTACAGAACAAATACTGATGTTCCACTTACTAAATTGCTTTGCCTTTCTGTTTTCAATGAATCATAGATAATTTCTGTCAATCCGTCTTTATTCTATGTACTAAGGTCACATTGAAACTTGAATCTGAGCAGTTTTAGTTGTCATGCTTATCTAATAAAAAGACTTCCAGATTTTTTTCATGGTGTGGACCATGCAATGCCCTTGTACTTTATGAACGAAAATACCTCACGCTATTCTTATGCAAACACTGGCAATAAAAGGCAACTGCAAGAAGGTCAATGTTTTACAAGTAGTGTTCACTGACAGCCAATGCATTGATATAGACTTACCTTGTCTATATCAAATTCTTCTGATTCTACAGCCACTCAGCAAAGGAAGATCAGATTGTCTCTTTCCTCATACCTTGTACAGGAGCCAGGTACAGTATAAACTATTGGGATGGTAGATTTGTATGTGAAGACCAGTTTGGCTTTGAAATCTTAAACCATCTAACACATTTTTTAAAAAGGTATCAAATCAGTGATAGCTTTTATTGGCAGAAAGTTTATACATTCACCTAGTCATCAATAGCTCTCCAAAGCCCAAAACATTTACTGAGCTGTTGCCTATATTTTTTTCAGCTAATTATAAAAGATACTTGGTACAATGCATTTAAAAAATCAGTTATTTTAAATGTCAGTGTTTTTTAGCATCTCCAAATTCTATATAAAATACAGGAGTGATGACCTAAGTTAAACAAAGAATAGTTTTCTCCACCTTTTAGATTCTTTGGTTCCTGATCTTTTCCCAGTTTGAAATAATAACATTGGTCCTTTCCATTTACAGAAGGTTCAGCTACTGGAAAATTGCTACAAGAAGTTCTTTGAAGCAAACTGTTATTCTGAGCACAGAAACGATGTCAATACATTCTTCTGTCTCCTTATTTTGGGGAAGGAACAACTGAAATATTTCCCTGCAGTATTTCCTTTCCTTTTGGGGATTATTATGTAGCATTTTAGTGGAGTCTAAAAAAACCCTGATTCTCCCTTTCATATAAATTCTCAGTAATTCAACTTTGGCAGGGGTATTTCTTTAATATGTTTTGAATATTCAAGTGACTTAAATTTTTCAGGATCTTAAGCTTAGTTTATTCAGAACTTGCTTAAAAAGCAAAAATCTTAGTAGGGGAGGATGTATGTTACATGAGAATAGCTGTATCTTGTTCACCAATTAAAATTTTTTACTGTTTAGAATTATACTGAGTTGCTATGTCTTTAGGTTCCTTTCTCTCCTGCCAAAGCAAAGATTAAGATGCGTAGAAAAGAGGTTCTGACAAAGCGAAGAACCTTAGTTGTCAGATCCTCAAATTGTAAGACTTAGGAGGAATAGTGTGTTTGCAGAACAGTCTATGACCCTATTTGCTCAAACCAAAGGCTATAGACTGTTGCTTTGCAACCAATTCCTTATAATAACAATCATGATAACAGTAGTAATAATAATAAAAAATGATATTTCTGTTTGACTGGTAGGGAGTAGTGAAAGTAATTGTCTCTGATTTCTTGTGAGGCTGATAACCATAGTAACAAATTTAATGACATGAAACAATTTCATTCGAAGTGTTAAATAATTATTCAAAGCAAATCCCTGTGAGTTTGAATTCATAAAATTCTATTCCAAAATATAATAGTTAGCTACTCTAATCAGCAAAGGAGGGGTCAAAAAATAGAAGAAACAGAAAAATTTTCTGCAGATACCTTTATGATACACAAAGAGCATTTCATGTTTACTAGGGGTAAGAATACTAGCTGAAAACATTGAAGACAACAATTTCTAGCAAAGGGACCACTCTGTGTTTGCAGTCTGGTTTGTCAAAATGATTACAAAAGTGTAATCACTTCATTCCATTTGTCAGCTTCATGGGAAGAGGGCAATAAGTATATACAGTAGGCAGTCTTCTGAAACATAACTCCTCTGCACTCTCCGTCCTTTCGTTTCAAGCACTGAGTTGCTGGGAGATAAATGATTGGCTAAGACTAAAGCTTTTTTGGAAGGCTGTGGTTTTTTGGTTGTGGGTTGGTTTTGGGGTTTTTTGCTTTTTTTTTTTTGTGGTGGGTTTTCTGTGGTGTGGTTGGGTTTTGGTATGGTTTTAGTTGGTGGTTTGTTTTTTTTTTTTTTAACATAAAGCTTTTAGCTATTTTAGAGGATGAGAGGGAGACAATCATCTTGAGCAGAGCCTTGGTGTTTCTAGATTGGAATATAGTGTTATAAGCTTTTGCTAGAAGAATTAAACGTGATTTGTTGAGCATTCTTTCTTCTATGGCATGGGACTGGAAAAAGCCTTGTTTGTTTTGGAGCTGCTTTGGACTATGTCAGGTCTTGGCACTGGATTAGAGCCTAAGCCAATTCTGTTACCTGCAGTATAGTTTGTTCTGCTGTGTAATCTAGCTGTACGGGAGGTGAGATGAAGAGGAATGAGGAGATAAACTGAAGGATTCTGACAAGACAGGAGGCTACGTAAAAATGGGGAGTCTGATAGCTATAGAGGGGATATTTGGGAGTTGAATTCATAGGAAGAGGCCGGAAGAGATACATAAGGACCTTAAGAATTACTGGGACTAAGAGAAGGGCAAGTAGGTCTGATGAGGGCCTGCAGCGGGACAATCTACATTAGCTGGGAATGGGAAAGAAATAATTTATTCCTCCTTCCCTGGTTTTCCAAGGCCTTTGAGATTATTTTCTCCTCCTGTCCATTCTAAGATATTTGAGACATCTCTGGTGCAAAATGTAGCATGGTACACAGGCTCAAGTAAATGAACCTGTGCTGGAAGTAGTAGTACAGCCTTAAGTAGTATATCTGCTTGGCATCGAGCTATACCTTCAGGTGCCCCCACCAGCTCTGGCATGGGGTCTTCCACGGGCTGCAGGTGGAATCTCTACACCCCCTCACCCTCCCTCCATGGGCTGCAGGGGGACAGCCTGCTTCACCATGTTCTTCACCACGGGCTGCAGGGGGATCTCTGCTCCGGCACGTGGAGCACCTCCTCCCCCTCCTTCTGCACTGACCTTGGTGTCTGCAGAGTTTCTTACATCTTCTCACTCCTCTCTCTGGCTGCAAAAGCTCTCTCTAACTGTTTTTTTCCTTCTTAAATATGTTATCCCAGAGGCGCTGATTGGCTTGGCCTTGGCCAGCGGCGGGTCCGTCTTGGAGCTGGCTGGCATTGGCTCTGTCAGACACAGGGGAAGCTTCTAGCAGCTTCTCACAGAAGCCACCCCTGTAGCCCCCCCACTACCAAAACCTTGCCATGCAAAACCAACACAACTGTGAAGAAACAAGTTGGTGCTATAAGGAAGTTTGTACTCCTTCCACGTCTTTAGTGTCTTTAAAAGGACTAAAATGACTCTTATGTACAATGAAAAACATAACCCAAATGTCTTACCTCTTCCCTCCTATTCTAAGGTCTTGGAAGGAAATAATTTGAAATATTAATCATTGGTACGCAGTACTTACTGACTTGAATTCATTCTTGGAGCCAGGAACTTAGATATTATATAATTTCTGTAGTATAGATCATCTCCATGAATAGTTTCAAGTGCAACAGTTTATCAGTGATTAAAGATCCCTTAAGTGTTAACAGTTAGACTATTTTACAAGTTGGTTAATTTGATCTCTGAAGTGATTTTTGAAAAAAAGACAACTTGCAATAGGTAGAAGCTGTGAGATTGTCAGATTCCTTATGGAGTACTGAGGTATGTTTACATGAAGTGATCACTGGGAAACTGATCTACTTTCGTCTAGCTCAGTGACCTCAAAAAGCTTTAATCAGCTTAGATCTTTAGCTGGTATTTCATTTAAAGACAGCTTCAGCAAATATTGTTCAGGGGTGGAAGGAAATCAGAATACCCCTCTTAGAAGACACATGGAAATTTTTTGGTTTTGTTTTTATAATAGAAAAACTAAAGACAAAGGAGGAGGATAAGGCACTACTGTTTTTGAGACACTTTCATCTTATTTTTTGACTGATTCACTGTCACTTGGTGACGTTCTAGTCTTTTGAAGATCTTGTACTGTATCTTCTCACTTCCATTTAAGAAAAAGGTGCTAACACCATTTTAACTCATCATAAATACAAGTTTCCTATTGTGAAACTTGTTTTAGATTTTTACTTCAAACTACTCTCTATTACCTTTATAATAAAGAGAAAAAAAACAAATATATTTTAGTATTACTGTGTTCAGTCTATAGATATGTCGTGAATTTCAGAGCTAGATTTTAGTTTGTAGCTTTTGGATTTTGTTTCTTTATTGGCAAGTACTGGGGAAACAAACTATTTTGTTATGATAGCGTTTAGAGGTGTGGCGAAAGGGAAAGCATTATGCAGTATTGAGGTCAACTACAATAACTGTAAAATCGGATGTGGGATTTGCAGCTCCGTAATGCCGGCTCAGATTTGTACTACATCTGTATCTCATAGAAATATTCATGTTTTTCTAATTTTGAAAGCAAATAGAATACTATCAGGTAATAGTTAGTAAAACACTGTTTGCAAATCAATGTTATGCATTTGGCCATAAAAGACTGGAAGAATACTGTCATGAAACATGATCTGATCAGCAACAGAAATCAGAGCACCCTGTAAAATGGTACAGGAGATGTCTGTATGTGCACTGTTCTATTATTCTGATATGAAATGAGATCCTCCTTTCTCTTCTGTACTTTTTTAAACACAGGCTTGTGAGTTGAACGAAAAGGTATAACGTTTGAAAACCAAATAGCTTGGTTTCCACCAATAAAACAACTAAATGTTTTTGTATGTGCATAAGTAGTCCCAGTAAGTTAAAAATGACTAGTCTTAAACTTAAGCACTTGCATTAGTTTTCTGTAGGATATGATGCTGACTGTATACAGTGGACAAAGGAGAAGAATAAGTTTAAATAGGAAGAATGTCTGAAATTAATTTTAATTTCATCTAGAATTACATGTTTTTTCAAGGTTAGTAAAGGTTTGTTTTTTTTTTTACTCTGGTCTTTCTCATAACTGCTAGTGCTTGCATTTAGTTTTACTCTGGTACAAAGGGTGGCCTGTTCGGAATCTATTGTGTTTTGTGCAAGCTAAAATTAGTATTATTCATTATTGCTCTAAAAGTTTGAGATATGTCATTGGTAGAAAGAAAACACATGCTGATGGATCTAGCAATATAATTGACTTAAGTCAATGCGGTATGAGAATAGCTGTATTTCTAACACAATTTTTGTAAAGGTTAGTATTAGTTCTGACAATATCCAATGTTTTTATCCATGATCTAGAAATTTATACATCAGTAGGAAGGAAGATAGGTTGACACAAAGAACAGTGAAATTGAACTAGCTGTTCTGTGTTAGTTTTTAATTATTTAGTTTTCTCCAGTAAATGCATTCATTCAGGAAGATTTAGACAATAAGAACAAATTTGTTTTTTAAATATTTACAAAGTTTCTTAATGATTTGACATGACTTCTGACTGATTTCTCTGGGCTAGAAAAAGAACTTGATAACACAGCTTCAGCCTGGAGGAAGTCCTCTAGGTCACTGGAGGGGAGATTTGTTTTGGTTTTGTTCTTAAAGAAAGAATCAAAATAATTAGTGACTTAAAATACTGTAGACAACTCCCTCTAAACAAAGATATTTTGCTCAAGTAATTTATTTAAAACATTCAGGAAATCAGGTCACGATAAACTCTTAATCTTTGTCTTTTGAGTATTTCAAGGCCTTTCTAGACACGTAGTCAGCAGTAAGATTGGCATTAAGCATCTGTCCTCTCTAATACTTCTGCAAAATGCTCTTTGCCTAAACTCTAAAGGAGTAGTAACACCTCTCTGGAATAATAATAAATCATCTATTTGATAGGAAGATTGAATATAAAAAATGTCACTTCATAAGTACACTGTGACTTTGCTTCATAAATAGTTTTTTATATTGTTTTAATATTTAAAACAGCTCTGTAAAAGTGCATTTTGTTGCTAGCTGTGTGTTCTGAAACTGGTAACTTGGTTTCATCTCCTGAGTCCACAAGCGTAAAATTCTGGAGCATAAACCACTAAAGTTTCAGAAAGGGGGTTACATCTGGAATTTATTCTAATTGGACGGTTGTACTTTTGGAAACTAGAAAAGCAAAGATATATATGTTTCTGGATTTACCCTGAAAAGAGTTGGGAGTGCTAAAATAAAAATGGCTGTGGCTTTAAGGCAAAAAAAAAAAAGTTCATATATTTTGTTCTATTTTGTTGTTTTCCAAATTACGATAGAAAAAAGTTCTGTGATTTGCATGTGCGTTCTTACCAGAAGATACTTGAGGGGCAGAGGGAGAGAAAGAGAGATTACGGCAAGGTCTGCTATAATATGCTCAATATTTGCCATGGTTCATCAAACATCATGCTTTCCCTTGAAGCATTAGGTAATATTAAGCCACTGCTTCCAGGTGTTAATTCACTACCGTGCTGTACTGTCATTCATATATAGTATTTGTTTATGGTAGTGTTACATTATCACATTCTGCCACAAAAGATAGATGAGGGTGAGTTTTTCAGATGTTAACTCAATGTGTTGCATTTCTTTAAAAAAAATATTAGAATACTGCTATTCCTTGAGTTCTGGGAATTTGGGATTAGGTTTAAACAGCTTTTTGTTCATTCCAAAATTTTGCCTATTTGGAATTTTCCTGGCTTTCAGTTTTTCTATTATTTTACTGTGTGTAGATGGCAAGTGTCAGCGGAGCTGTTTTCTTCAGTCAGAGTACACCTACTTTAATGGTTAAGTGCACAGCAACAGAAATGTGACATTTGAGGCACAGATGACGTAGGCAATAGATGTTAGCTGCCAGCATCCATGTGCACGCCACTGGTAATAGCTGTCTGTGGGAACTGTAGCTAAGAATACTGTACACCTGGAATTGTGATAGGCTTATCTTGTACATCTAGGTCAAGTTCGATGTCCTCTCTCCCTTCTCTGTCTTGCTCTCATAGTGCTTCTTATTAATGGATCAGAGATTATGTGGTTTTTTTCCCAGTATTGTTTTTATGTGCTGCAGTATCAGATGCCATATAAATTGAAGAAGTAGTTACATACATATAGATAAAATAAAAATTATATTCTTGTTATAGCAAAATAACATGTAATATAGAATGTGTCTATCACAATCATATCTTCCATTTGTATTTATCTAAACACTTAATTTTGTGGTTTGCATTGTTTTAGGTTTTGTTGTTTCTGTCAGCCCCTTCAGAAAACTGTTACAGCTTTTAAAGATTTTCTGCTATGTATGTGTTCCCATTGGGGCCTTAAAAGGTTTTTTTTTTGCTTGGAAGACCTTTTTGCTTGCTAAAATGCTTTTGTGCTAAAATGACCTGTTATCCAGCTTTCCCCTTCAAAAATGTATTGTCTGTACAGTTTATATTTTGTAGCTTTGGTATGTCCTACTTATCTAATGTAATAAAAATACTTTATGGCTTTTCATTTTGAAAAACTTTGTTAGATTTGGATGTTTATTCGCACTTCAAAGTTCCCATTCGAAAACATTGTGGCTAGTATTTTTAATAATCTAATAACTTGAAAGCTTTTCTAGAGTATCTTGCCTGTAATATGGCACTACAAAAACTGTAGCTTTTATTTTCTTAAATACATTTTCTATGAACACTGCTTGCTTAGAAGTGCTATACTTATTCTGCTCTTAAAGAACGGGTGACAATATTCTACTCTTCAAGTACTTGGGATTGAAGGAGCATATCAACATAACAAATTTCATGCTACTTTTATCAAGTAGACTATCAAAAAAAGGATAGTTTTCAATGAAAGACTGAAATTTAGATCAATTTAGATTGATTATATCTGGCTGAAACCTAAAATTTTGGTATTCAGTTAAATTGCAGCTCTTAGCATTATGGATAAGATAGCTTAGAGCAAAACTATAAAAGATTTCTTTAATGAGTCATTAGGAAATTACGTGCCCAGGCAGAATTTTGTTAAAATGCAAACTGGTCCGAAGCTGACTTTGAAAAGTACTTTTTCTTTTTTCCATGATACTTTTGTTGCTGTTATTTTTTGGTGGTGTTATTTACTTTTATGTTGGCATCTTTTACTACTTGAATATGTTTTGCTTTAGGGTATCCTATCATCTTTTAAAGAAAAATTGTTATTTTCATAGTGGCAGAACTGAGGTCAAATAACTTATAATTATATCTGGATAGTTTTTAATTTAAGTATGTCTTGATAATTTTTAATCACATCTTTAATCAGGCATCAAAATGAGAGCCTGTAAATGAAACCCAAACTTTCCTTGTTAGACAGTGTAACTCAATTAGACTTGAATAATGGTTAATGCAAGTTTTGCTTTATTTGCTACTATCCTTAGACAATTGAGAGAGGATACAAAGCTTCCTGTTCCAGCACAGCACAAATAATTTAATAAAAGGCAAGTAGTTAGAGGATGTAAAATATGTGCTTAAAATAATTTGCAGTATCTAACTGCAGTTACATTGAGCTGCATCTTTAGGGGAATGCTTTAGCATGAACAAGCTTCTAAAAAGATGTCATCTTCAAACTTTAATTCAGATTTCTCAGAGTGGATTGAATGACTTGAATATGCTTTGTTGTATGCCACCTTTCCCTGAGTTCTTAAAATAATTCTGTGTATATTTAATTTTTATTAAATCTATAGGGATGCTTCATTTGGGAACTGCACGTACAATCTTACAATCTTGGACTGTTTACAGGGAATAAATAAGGTAATAACACTTTTCTTTAGCAAAACACATTTAAATTGACTTTTAAAACGTGAAGGAAAATGCTGTTGAAATACAGTATTTAGAAAATCTGGTTTCAAAGCAAAATGTATGTGAATGAGTAGTATCCTGTCATGAAGCCCAAGTTACTGAGGACTGTTTGAGTAGTGACAATGGAAGAAGGTTATGCTTTTACCTGGCTGGCCTGGCCTTTGACAGCTTTCTGAACTTCACCTTGTGAATTGGAATGTGCAAACACACCAGGCCAGGCAGGGGGCAGTTCTTAACAGTGCAAGGCAGTGCACTAGATCTGCTAACAGATCATTTATAACTATTGGTAAAAGGCAATAACATAGGTTGATAAAGTCAAGCAAGACAGGCACCCAGGTATACTGTGATTTAATCTGAGCAGTTTTTGAATGCACTTGGCCCCAACTTCCCCCAAAACACTTGGTTCAGTGTTTGACACTAATCTTTTCAGAATTGTTTGAAAAGAATGAAAATTAATGTATCTTACTAATATTTTAATGTGTCACTTTCAACAGTCCTGGTCCTGGGGAATATTAAGCTCCAATATTCCTTTTTTAAAATGTTATGTCACATCTTAATTGGTAACCTTGTATTATAGTGTATACTTCATACTGTAAGCAAAGATTAAATTTTGTTCATCATTTCCCAGTGATCTTGAAGGGAGCAGGCTATATGAACCGTTCTATACAGACATTATAGACTATTTGTAATTCTTAAAAGTATGGCAAAACAGGTGTTTCTTAAAAATTGAAAAAAGAGAGATCGAGCTTAATATTTTTAGTTCTGTGGGGGTGGGAAAGGAGCTGTCACTTAACAGCAAGAGTCTAATTAGTGTGGCATTCTACAGATCCTGAAGCTCTGAAGCAGTCAGTGCAGTCACTGTAATTTATCTGCAACAAACATGTCAAAAGGACTTTGAGAATCAGTTTTTCCTCCTTTGTTCCCATAAAGTTTATTACTGAATTGTTGTCCAGTGCATCTACAGAGATAAATATACTTTGAGCAGAAACCGTATGACTAATCTAAAGTAAAACCTTAGTCTACCTGGGTAAATTTGGTGTTTGCATGCACATATATCATATACTTGTAATTCACAGGGCCTCCTAATTTTGGAGTGCAGCCAGCCAACCATGCTTAAATGAAATCCATTTTTCAAAATCAGCTGTTCAGACAAACCTCTTGGTATCTTAGGATTCATGACAGGCCCAATCATGAAGCCTATGTTGTAGACAACAAAGCTATTTTTATTTGTCTTTAAAAAGGTGCTCTATATGTAGCAAATAATGGCAGACTGATTATTGGGGTTTTTTTTTTTAAAATCATAGATCTGTGGTGTCTTTAATCCCAGAATGTAATATCTATACTTCTCAAAATGTAGTAGATTCAGTATAAATATATGCTGCAGAACTGTTTACCTCCTCTTCCTTCAAAATGTCCTTGAAAATTCCAAGAAATTTGGACTATGAATTCCTTATTCATAGAATTGTTTGTAATATGATATTATACACTAATCTTCAGTATGAAATTGGCATATTTAATAATAGTACAGTAATCAAATACAAAACTAGGACTTCTTTCAATCCTTTTAATAAATACTATCTAACATAGTCTAGTGAACTTCATTCTATCAGTGGAATGTATATTAAAAACAAATCATAAAATACAGGTTATCCACAGTACTGTATTCTGTATATGCCATTTTTGCTTGGGTATTATGGTGATAAAATCAGAGTATCATACTAAGTATAGAAAAATCAATAAACTCTTAATGTTCTATATTTAGTTATGTCCGACTGCGTGAAAATGTATTCAGCACAGAAATCATTGAATGACTTTTGTACGGCAAAAAGGGAATTGCTTTTTAATTTGTCATCTGCCTTAGAGGAAAAAAAGATAAATAGTGGGGCGGAGAGAATCAGTTTTATAGTTTAAGTGATATGCAACAGCCTTATGTACCATTGTAATGTCTTTGAAGGGGACACAGTGAGCCTGCCATGCTTTAGTGACATTGTTGGAGTTTTTGTTGTCTGTGTTGTTAATCTGTGTAAAATGTAATGTTGTCTTAACATAGAGACTTCAATAAGCCAAAAGCACAAACATTTAGTGATTTAGTTTTGGATTCTCAAAAACAGTATTATAAAATGAGATTATATCATATTTCAGAATAAACTGATAACTTGTTGCCTTTTAGGCCTTGCAGCATGGATTTTTTGACTTTAAGACATTTGATGTGGATGAATATGAACACTATGAGGTTTGTACATTAAATAATGAGTTAAATGTGTTTAGTTTACCTAAAATAAGTTAGAATATACAGTATCACACAATGTAAAACATAGTGGAAACACATTTTAATTCAGGTAAAACCTGGTGTTCATATGTAAGGTATGTACATCCAAACCTGTATGCTGTATGTGAAAAACATGCAAGATGAACATCCTTGCAATTTCAGTGCATCACACAATAAGTCTACTGTTTTCTTGTAGCCTGTCTGGCTTCTGGGACCTCTTTCATGCTTTCCCAGCCTTCCCCCAGGATATAATCCAAGGTCTCTCAGCTGACCCGCAGAATCTGTGTTTTCTTCCAGCACTTGTTGAGCTGCTTCTTGAGATGCTATTAGTCCCAAATATATGATAAATTTTTTTATAGCCACGTAGATTAAGCTAATTTGAGCTATTTTAGTAAGGATGCGTTATATGGAGATTCTAGAAAGGAAAATACATCCACAATATTTCCCTAATGAAATCCCAGAAAGCTCACAGATATCATTCATTGTTTTGCCAACCTTCTTACAATTTAAGAATAGATATTCTGGATGACTCTAGATGCTGCTAGGACTTTTGATGTACACACCTTTACCTGCTAGTAGTAGACAGTTATCTCAAGCTATATTGCCACAGAGAACCTTTAAAATATGCCCTTGTCTGTGGAACTCTCTGAAGTTTCTGCAGTTGCATTGGTTAAGGAGAAAGATACATAAACTAGAGGTATACTAAACATTTGAATATACATTAAACTCTGGTTTTAGAGTTGTGTTACTTTATTGTAGCCGGTATTCTTCACCCCCAGCCACTCCATTGCAGTTTTCAGAAAACTTGAAAATAATGAGAATAAATTTGCTTAGCCTGAAAATGTCCATTTTAAAATTTATTTTCTTAAGTTGAATATTTCTAATATCAAACAAGTTTTAGGGATAATTCCTTTTCTTAAATCTCTGTGACATTTGGTAAATATTTTGTTTTACAAGCAAGAAATATGGGTGACTCAATACGTATCTGAAATATGTACAGCTGTAGGAAATGCTTCATAAATGTTCAAGAAAGAAAGTGAAGTCAGGAGAGGAATAAACAGTGGAAAAACTTAATTTACAACACAAATCTATACAGTAGATGTTGGCTGCAATAGGCACGCTATAATGTAAAGCTATTCACAAAACTTAAACACACTTGTAGAAGGATTTCTGTATACTGTAATGTTCAATAATGTTTAGATTGAGAAATTGGTATAGCCTTTGCTGAATCACCAAAATTAAATGAAGAGTAACTGAAATTTAAAATATAAAATTGCTGCTTTTTTGCTTACTCTCTGTGCAAAAGGAAAATGTTTGTTCCACAGCCAGATTATGATTGGGAATTCTTAGGAATCTGTATATACAGTAGATGTTAAATCTACCCAAAAAAAGTATTAAAATAATTGACTAAAGCTATCCCATTTTTTTGTTTAATGCTTAACATTATTTTAGTTTGTGAAAAGTATGTATGTGTAAATGATGTTTAAAGTGCTGCTGGCTGTCTGAGTTTAAGAACCTAGAACTTGGAAACATCTTTAAATTTTTTTGTCCATTTTTTGGTATGTCTTTTATTATTTTATGCATCGTGGTCAGCTTTGTATGTTTAGATATGTCCTGTGCTATATATCGAAAACTTTAAATGTTCCAGGTTTTTGCTGTGTTAGGTCTTCAAATGTGTAGTTATGTGGAGAAAAGTTGCATAAGCCTTAAAGACAGCAGGCTAAAGGAAATTCTATTTCACATTTATAGTTCTTTAATCTTACTACATTATTAAGGCAGCTAATTCTCCTTTTGTTGGACTAGATGTAAAATATTCCAGTTCTCTTTTTTTAAAATAATAATGTTGTTTGCATGTAGTGTTGAGTGTATATATACACATATACATATATATCTGTCATTCAGATTGGTTAAAATTTAAATAATTCACAATAACCTATGTAACTATAAAGAATACTTAATTCACAAATAAAATGGGCAACACAAAAATACTTTTAACTTATTGAACAGGACTTCTTCCGTAAAGGGGGTAAAGGTGCTACAATGTAGAGATTGCAGTCTGTGATACAAATTTGGGGGTGTGAGGGGTCCTGATTTGGCAATAAGATCCGTTCACTAGTCCTTATGCAACCTTGTTAACTTCCAGGAGTTTTCACTGTGTGAGGATATTTGGAGCAAGCCTAATGGGCTTAGCTAAGCAAACAGTTGGTGAATTGATTACAGTAATGTCCATTATCAGAACCTTTCACTCATTAGGGTGTTTTGATGAGCTGAGAACTAAAAACACAAGCTTAATAATGTAGCTGAACTGAGTGCCATGTCCTTAAAAGTCATGCTGAGCATAACTGCATTGCCAAATGAGGAAAGAGCACTTTTCAGTTAAAGAAAAAAAAAAAGCAGTTTGGAATTGTAGTTATGTATTTCCAAAGAAGCTTCCAGTTTTGGCACTGAGAGAATTTGCAGAACCTTTTTGAAGTTTTCATTTAAAAGTGACCAAGAAAGGCAAAATGTCACAATTTTAAAGTTTTTTTCATTTAGTCTTTTTATTTGATTTATATTTTGCTTCTTTGATTACTAGCTCATCAGAGCTTATGCCAATATGTAGATTTCAGTTTCTACAGGAAAAGGATAATTGGTTTTGAAGGCTAATTGCTTTAATTTGTTTTCTGTGAATTGGGTTTTTAGCTAGTGGCTTACAGGGAAGCATTTTTCCATATTCTTTGATTAAAAAATACAAGAATGTTGGTGTTTGTCAGTGTTGTTACAAGTCAGTGTCTTAATGTGCTGAACCCTCTAAGGGAGAAATATCTTAGATATAGGATCTTTCTGCTTTCATTGGAAAACTTGAGCAAAATATTTTGTGTTTCATTTTATTAAGAGATTTCTGAGCACCTTAAGGTTAGTTAGTTTGTCCCATATAGGTAAGCTAGCTAATTACATTTGAAGTGTTTTGTTTTAATGCAGCAGGAACATAGTGAAAAGTAAAATAAAATCTTTAGTAATTTTTTAACCTTGTATGTACAGATATTAAAATGCTTTTCTCTTCTCAAATTTTTATAGCGGGTGGAAAATGGTGACTTCAACTGGATTATTCCAGGAAAATTTTTGGCATTTAGTGGACCACACCCAAAAAGCAAACTTGAAAATGGTATGGTGTATATTTTAATGCTATTCTATGACCTTATTTTTTCCAGCATGTTAAACAGTCACAGCAAATGAGCAGAAGATAATAGAGGTTTATAGATTAATTTTCATCTTCAGAAATAATCATACAGTGAACATTTTATATACAATCATAGAGCTTAATTCCAAAAGTTTTGGAATTACTCTTTGCTAGAAGAATTCCAATGCCTGGGAAATTCAGGTCCCTTACTTTTCTCCTGGAACCTGACACTTGATACGATAAGTATGCAGAATTAAAGGTGAGCTGCATAAAGCAACATAATGCATGAGCATTTTGTGGACAATTTTTTTTATATCACTTAACATGTTTATTCTGAATAAAATATTAAAGCGTTTTTAGTTTTAGCATGTTTGTCATTCAAAAAAGGCTTTGGGGGCAATTATGTTTAGTAGGACTTTGAACTTTATCTATGACATTAAACGATTGTTGCTTTATTTTTTTTATAGGTTATCCTCTTCACGCACCTGAAGCCTACTTTCCCTATTTCAAGAAACATCATATCACGTCAATCATAAGACTAAACAAAAAAATTTATGAGGCAAAGCGATTTACTGATGCTGGTTTTGAGCATTACGACCTGTTCTTCATAGATGGAAGCACACCAAGCGACAGTATAGTTCAGAGGTTCCTGAACATCTGCGAAAATGCTGACGGTGCTATTGCTGTACATTGTAAAGGTGTGTGCACTTATTTCTCAGACTGAAGTTCAAAATAAGTATAAATCCATAGAGACTGTTCCAGAAATAAAGCATTTAAAAAATAATACTTTCTGGTTGTGAAAGTAATGTTGCTTTATGATACTTGACTAAATATATGACAAATATTTGTTATTTTCACGTGCATATTAAGTTCTTTCATCCAAGCTACTGTGTACAGTAACTGATAATCTGTTGTTCATTGTTCTGTTTTTTCTTAATATCACTTGAAGGCGTGAGTTTTAGTCGATGGAGATTTCTCTTTTGCATTATGCTTTTGCAGCATTATGATAATTGGCTAGGAAATGCAAGAGACTGAAAGGTTTTCTTTGTGCTTTTGGACTGCTCTACATTTTTCTGTGAGCATGACTTCCACGTTTCAAGTTAATGTGAGTTATTGTGATGCCAGCATTTCAAACCAGCCTATTTCAGCAAATCGGCCAGAAAATACACAAAACTTGCTTAGTCAAGAATGATTAACAAAGGCTTTTGAAAGGTTCAGCTTGATTTATGTTTAGAGTTGTGTAAGGACATTGTGGAGATGAATGTCTTGCTGATCTGAAACAAGAATAGTGCTATTCTTTCGTAATTTTTCCATGAACAATAAACATGCATATCAAAGATAAATAAGTTTATTTGCTAAAAAGTTCTTACTGTGGCTAGAACCCAGAAATTCTGGTGTTAATAAGCTAGACATCTGCTAATTGACTAAATAAGAGTATAAATTATTGATTAGCAGGAGTAGATTGTTATTCTCCAGACTTAGTTGCTAAAGCAATACAACATACTTTTCTAGTGACTTAGATATGCGCTTGCTCAACTGAAGTATTTTTGGTCTTATGTCTGACCATTTAATAAGCAAACCAACAATCTTATTTTTTGAAGGTTTTTAACACCCTTCTAAATAAGACTATACAAATTTAAACCAACAGTCAACTTGGAGTTAATGTATTGCCTGTTGTTTTCTTGTATTCTTATTGCAGAAGTATTCCAGGCACAGCTTCCATGCTAGAAATTGCTTGTCCCAGAAGCTATAGAATGGTTTAATGCAAAGGGTCGCTATGGGAATTTTGTACAATAGCAGGAACTTAGAGAAAAGTACTGAAGTCTTAGTGATATGTTCAGTTGGTAGATGTTATCTGCAATTTTCAGAGACCATTTTCTTATTCAGGTGTACGTTTAGTATAATACAGCTTTTAGTTATTTATTGTATGTTGCATTTCTTTTGCATTTAAAAAAAACCAAAATCAAAAACAGAAGCCCAAAACTATCTAACATTTACGTCCCCTTTTTAAATGATTCTTCAGAGCTAGTCTTCCACTATACAGTTAGGGAATGTCACTATTTGTGAACTTTTATCTTCATCCTTTTACCTGAAGCATCTCAATTTTCCAAAAAGTCACAGCAAGATTTAGTTATTGGTTAAACGTAAAGAGCTTTCAGTTGTGTATAGAATTGTCAGCAAGGATGTTGGGTTGCTTAGAGAGTTTCCATTTAGATAGTTGTTGGTGCATAAACAATAGCTGGCCACCATGAGACTGTAAATTGCAAATATTGTATTTGCAGAAAAATAAGGTTTAAGTGGAGGGACACCTTACTAGCAGATAAGACATAGGGTTAGAAAGACATTAATTCTTACTCTATAGTTAGAGATTTGATAGCAAAAACTAATTTTTCTGTCTCTCTATTCTCCCCTTAAAACCAGAATTAGTTTGTGATTTGTGGGGCAATGTGTTAAATTATTTTAAGCTATTGATATATAACATTATATGCTGGTCAACATTCATTGCTCTTTATACAGATAGAAGTGAATAGTTTTATAGGTTGGTTTCACAACAAAAAGAAAAAGCTGCTGGCTGAGAAGACACATGGTGCTCTCCATTGTGACGTGCATATATATGTATTTGCATGTATTTGAACCTTAATTTGTAAAGTATGTGTGTTTAGCCTCTCAAAGGTACGTTGTTTTTTCTGATTTTATACATATGAACTCTTTTTCCAGCTTGGTCATGTTTTTTTTAAAAAATATCAGCTTTAAAAAAAAAAAAAAAAAATGTAGAATTGTACAAGCGCCAAGAGTGACCACTGTTGTATGTGTTCTTAAATGCTGTTAACTTTTAAAAAGTATGATATATTTGTTCTTATATGTACAATTATGTGATAAGCAGGATATTGAATCAGAAATTCTTTCTTCAAATAACATTGCAAAGAAGGCTTCTCATATCGCATATTTTGATAGTTATGAAATGCTCTTGACTTTGTATGTGAATGTTGATACTTGTGTTTCTGTAGCTGGCCTGGGGAGAACAGGGACACTGATTGCCTGTTACATAATGAAACACTTCAAGTTCACACATGCTGAAGCCATTGCTTGGATAAGAATATGTCGACCAGGTTCTATTATAGGACCCCAGCAACACTTCTTGGAAGAGTATGTATACCTTCTTTGCTACTAAGAATCAACTGCTGCTCTACATCCTTATCCATATTGCGCTACTTATAGGATGTACTTTCTGTCTACTGATGTCATATATTACTGCCTGTTGCAATATATTTAAGGTTAGTTAATTTGGTATTGAAAACAAACTTACTCAGTAGCAGTCATCTTCTCTGGAGTGCTATGCATTTTGTCACCTTAAGGGGCAGAGGGTCTCAAGACTCTGCATGTTTGTGTTCTGGGGGATTTAGGAGTTAAATGTGTTGGAAATGTAAGTCTATATGTGGGCAAAAGAGTAAATCAACAATAAGGAAAAGACAGAATTTATATACTTTATATATAGCCTATGATGACACTTGAATCATACAGTAGTATAATTGATACATGTTTTTTTTCTTTCTTGTAACTAAATATTAAGTAAGTACATGGTAGACAGCTTATGATCTCTGTCAGATTCCTAGCATAACATATGAAGCATTTCTGATTTGGAGCTAATAGTCGTTAACAAAAAAAAGTATGGTTTTAATACAGCTCCTTCTCAAAATTGACTGTATACTCTGGGTTGAGAAGATTTCATGTGCAGATAATTTGAATGGGTAATTCAAGGTCTGATCCTGACTGGAAATTAATAACAAAATTGCACTGGCTTCAGTGATGTTGACACTAAGTTTAATTTCATAGTGGTTTCTACATTTATTATTATAGTGGTTATGCTGATATTTTTTGAGTTGATAACATGATAATATTTAGTTGGAGGCGTTTTCACCGTTAAAAGGCAAAAACTTTTGAGAAAATTCACCACAAATCTATCTCTCTCTGGAAAAAAGAGAATGCAACAGCTCTGCTAGATACTGCATAAACATAGTAAAACATGCACTGCCCTTGCATCTTAAAATCCATAGGATATCAGAGAGAAAGGGGTATTACTCTAATTCATAAGAGAAATTAGCATGAATGAGGATTTCTATTTATTTTCCAGTGCAACTGAATGGGCACTCCTTTATTTGAAAGGTGGCCCACCATTATTCAAAATACTGTGAATCACAAACTTTCACAAACCACAAGTGCTCACTGAAGGCAAATTAAACTTCTCCACACTGTGCTGATGCTTGGATGATGCACTCCTAAAAATAACTTCCACAACAGAGCAACATTAAGAGAGAAAGGTAGTAGGTAGTGTGGTTAGTGAGTGCTGTTTATTTGAAAGATAGGAAAAACAGGGCCCGTGTCTTTTCTGCAGTGGTCTATAAATACTCGATTTGATTTTTACAGATAGGCAAAGAACCTTCAGATATTTTTCATTCATAGCTAAAAGCTGTAGTATTGTTCAGTAAGAATTTTCTATTGTCCTATGGCAATAGATACCTGTTTTGACAATCAGGCAGTGTTACCAGTAGTGTCAAGATGGGATTGAGAAAGAAGAAGCTAACGTCAGTTGCAGCCCTGAGGGCAACATATTTTATATTAGAGTGATGCAAAGTTGCATCTGACAAAAAGGTAAAATCTTGCAACTTTGATCTCCCAACTTTTCATGTGTGTCAGACCTTCATCTCTCGGTTCTTTGAGGTGTAATAAGGGAAGTTTGAGTAGGTTGTTTTGTTTTTTTTTTTAAGAGACCCTCCCACCCAAGTAGGTATCAAATCAGTTTGTTACTGTGAATGCAATTAATATTGAAAGATTTCAAAGGTATTCAAATTCAAGCATGTTTTCTAGGCTGCTTCTGTTAGGTAGAGTAAGTGGTGCTCCCTCTCCTTCTCTTGATGTTTTTTTGGGACCTAGTGAAATTTTTCTGGAAGTCCTTACCTTTCCCATTTATTATTGAGCAAGTTTAGGCAGTTGGCTCAGACTACTTGGCTCTTAAGCTTTGCCATAATATTCTGTTTTCAAACAAGTTTCCAGTGAAGGTATACTCTGATTTAATTCCTCATTTTTTTTTCTCTTTTCAGTATAGGATTTTGATTTTACAATTGTTACAATAGTAAGTAATTGGGTCTCAGTTCTTGGATGGAACTAGCATGACAGGAACTAGCATGACCATCAAAATTCTTTATCGAGGAATAATGCAGTCTCATCAACAAAAGCCTGCTTAGCTCATGCATGTTGTAGCAATTGATTATTTTTTTACCACCTGTCTGAAGGATATATAATCTTATTTTCTGAAAAGTGATACTAGAGTCCTGTTCAACTTCACATGACTATGACCACTTCCACTGTGCAGTTTTATTGCACAGTATCTGTATTCAAAACCCTCCTGCTAATAAGAAGTTGGAAGGTGCTGTATCATCATTTATTATGCACATTACATATATAAAAGCATTATTTTATATGAATTTTTAAGTTTTAAAATACCATTGCAAATTCCTAGTTAATCTCTTTTCCCAGTAGGATTTTGTAAAATGAAGTTTTAGTACCTGTAATACTTCCCTGGTGATTCTGGTTGGGGTTTTTTTTTGTTCTTTTTGAGCATTGAAAATTATGAATTTTTTTTTGTTTGTGATAGACATTTTTTTTTTCCAAATGAAGATGTACAGAAGATTCAAATGTTGGCAATCTGAGTAGCATGTTTTCATATCCTGTGTGTGTGCAAACTTGTTGATATGAATTGATTTGGTTTTGTATCCTAAAGGAAGCAAGCAACGTTGTGGCTGGAGGGAGATCTCATCCGATCAAAGCAGAAACAAGTAGTTGATGGAAATATTAACAGAGTTCTTTGTGGCTTCAATGACATTTCAATCAGTGACAGCTTGAATGAAGTACAAGACTTGGATCAATACAGGGAGGTAAGAGTTCATAGGAAACAATTCAAACAGGCAGAGATGGAGTTGATCTTTTAATAACTAGCTACAGATAATTTTCAGGCTTTTTTAGGCTTGTACTAGTACTAAATTGCTTTTTCACAACTAAACTTTTTTTATAGGTCATAATTAAAACAATCCTCCACTTTTTTCAAAAAGTGCAAACTTCAAAAGGTCTGCGTTATTTCAAGTTATTCCTTCAGGGTTTTCAGTTGCTTATTGGAGAATGGAGGGGAAAAAAAATCAGTTTTCTTCCTGGAAATCTATTTATTCCAAGTTTCTAACTAATAACGCATGAGTGTATAAATGTCCATGCCTTTATCACAGTCTTATGAATTACTGATGTGATGTGTACGTTTTAGGGTAAGTACCTTACAATTATTGGAAGCACAGGCGTGAAATGTGAACTAAAGTGAACATATTTCTGCTTCTGGGCTAGTCAAATCTTAAACTGTAGTTTCTTATAGAATCTGTAAGAAGCAGTTTAGAGGAACTATGCATTTGATTAATCCGTCTTAGCTCTGTAATAACTAAGGAGCTTTTTTGTTGCTGATGGAATCCTTGATGAGAAAAACGAGGGATGTAGTGGGCACCTTCTTCCGATAGAAGATTATTTTAATTTATACTAAGAACTGTCATGTGATCTATCCTAATCTGGAAGAGCACTTTGAATGCCTTTCTGTAAAGGTACTGTTTTGCCTTCTGGAAGTTCAATTTGTGGCCTGTGATATGTTAAATTAAATATCTAGATTACTAAATGGACAATATAACACTAGTGATGATCTTGTATGCCTAATGAAAACAGCTGGCACATAGCCATATGGGTAAAAATAATAGTTTTGAATTTGAGCTACCTTTACTGCTACCAGTATTCAAGGCAACTTACTTGCAGGTAACTCAACTACCTGTACACTGTGTAGCAGCTTATGTACAGATTCACAACATAAATTCACAGTGCCACTTTTTTTCTACTGTAACTCTCTCTGTAATATGTATATTTCAGTTTTTTACAGATGGCATATTAAAGCTGTTTGACCTTAATTTTTCAAAACATTTAACTTATCTCTTTATCTCTTTGGAAATTTCATTATATTTCAGGACCTCATTATACTAGGCTCTCTAGAAACAAAAAGCAAAGTAATGTTCCCAATCCCAGAAATGCATAAGGTCTAAGAATCAGAGGACAGAACAGCTACATGCAGTTAACTGTTGGGCAAGTAAAGACAGTGAAACAAAATTTATCAGCGTTGAGGCTGAATGATAGGTAACAACAACCTAGCATATAATCTTCAATGAAATCTAGCTAAAGTAGTCAATCTTTCATTTTGGTTAATGGCAGAAACTATTGTTCTGTTCTATATAGAGCAGTGAGGTCACTTGGACACAATAGGAACTGCAGTAATACAAACAAATACTTGATCTGAGGTCAAATGAAGCCATAATTGGCATAAGGTTTCTTTCATTTGGCAATTAAAAAAAATCGCAGTTCTCTAACTTTTATATTTCTCTGCTACTTAAGATACTATATTTAATACTTGGGTCATGTTTCTCTGCTACTTAAGATACTATCTCTATTTAATACTTAGGTCTTATTTTGAGATCAGTTAGAAATTATAAATAGGCATTTAAACAGTGTTGGCAAACACTTAGTATTTCTTAGAGTTTAAAATATTTTTGAAAGCTAGAAGTAGTAGGATAAAGCTCTGAAATCTGTTCACCTTATATTCCTTATTAAGTTCTCATAGGGAAATTTTTTTCAAAACTGTATTTTTCTAGAACATTTTTAAATTAGTAATTTAGGAAAGTTGATTTTTAGCTCCTCTTGCAGGGGACACAACTTTATCTAAATTTCTTCCTCATCTTGTGCATATCACAGCATTGTGTGTTACTACGTCCCTTCCACATTGATAATAACTTTAACTCCTTCTTCCATAACTATTTTTAAAGTTCTATAAAAACTGACGTTTTTGAAGTAAATAAATACTGGTGTTAGACTTGAGCATCCTGAACTGATTTTGAGGTCAGATTCTGCAAAAAGCCTCTGTGAATGTGCATTTGTACTGTGACACGTTTAATTTACTGGAACTATGCAAAGACAGAGTAGTGCCCCATGTATGCAGACGGTTGTAGATAGGCCGTTTAAATTATAATCCTTGCCAAGGAGCTGTTCAGTACTTTGAAACTACACTGCTCCTAAGGATCTGATCTGTTTCCTTGCTTGCGTACTTTGTATTTCCCAGAATGATTTTGAAGACAAAGCAGGTGTGGAAACTCAGAATGGTATGACACAGGGAGATGAGCTTAATGCCTTAAAAAGTCGGAGACGGCCATGTTCTGCTACAACTGGAGCTCTGAGGTAATTAATTAATTCTGAGGTAATCTGCAATTTTAAATTCAATATGAGCTGTCAGATCTTTATGGCAAGTACGTGGCCTTTTTTAAGGCAGTAGTCCTAATTTCCACCACCTTCTGTGGTGGAAATTTCTCTAGCTATATATCTATTAGTTGCAGATTTAGTTTATTAATTTTTTCTTTTTTTTTTTCTGACTCCCTATTCAGGATACCTACTTATTATGTAGCAGTAAAAGACAAAGTAGAAAAAGATTTTAAAATCTTCAAATTTATATCTAGCATTTTAAAACTTACATCTCAAACAAAATATTCTTCAATGAACTTAGTTATCTTTCTATAATTACTTTTCTGTACTCCTCATCTAAATTTTTAATTTTTCAGAACCAGTAAAAATGTGAAGTTTGAAAATAAACCTCAAGTAGCTCTCCGTTTAAATTAAAATAAAGATTGTCAATAATTTTTAACTCTTGTTAGTCTCGTACTTTAAAGCCAGTATGAGACATGCAAGTATGCTTTGTGGGAGGGGAAAGACTTTTTATCCTTTGATAAAGATTGCTACTTTGGTTTCCTTAGGCTGCAAGACATGAAACTGCACACCAGGTCAATATCACAACCTTTCAGGTATTAACTTTAAAATTATAGTTCTAAATGTATACCACTCAGGTCTTACATTTTCAGTGTTTTGATTTATAGTTATGACATCAATTGATTGGCAATTTCAGACTTCTGATAAGCAGCAGGTACACACTTTTTTAAAGGCCTGCAAATGGGGGGAAAATAATCTAAAGGACAGGGGCACAACTCTACTTTAGGGATACCTTGAATTCTTCTTAGTAAATAATTAGCACATAAAAGTAATTTCCTCAGTCACATTTTCTAATATCCATGGTGTTATGCAGTGAAGGATGACTAGTTAACTCATAACTACTTTATCCCTATAAAACTAGATACTTGTCTCAAAAGCCTAAATTGGCTACATATTGCCTGCGTATCACAGTTTTTGTCCTGTGTGTTTTAGTAGGTGAACTAGAAGTATTGCTTAGTTGATACTATCAGTACTTTTTTTAGAAGATGTACCAGATAAACATTGTTTTAATACCATTTCATATTTTAATACACAGTCCTCACTGTACACTTTATTACATGCTTTGTTCAGAACTTTCTGTGGAGCCAATAAAGCCAATAGTTTCTTCTTATTTTCTAAATGTTTATTTCATTTATGACCTGTACTAATCTCAAATCAGTGGCAGATAGTGCCACTCAAAAGAAAATAAAATGTAAAGTGAGAATTTACTTAATTTTAAGAGTTAAAAGAATAGCAGAATTGAGTATTTTGTTTTTAACCATTGCATCCTTTACCCCATTGCATCTAAAATACATGTAAGACAAAATACCAGTCCTTATAAAGCATTAATACTGAAAAGACCACGTTATCTTCAGTTTTGTGACAACTTGGATTTCTGAGGTGGATTACTCTAGATGTCTTACATTGGAGATACCTGTTTACCCTTTCTTGGAATTAAAGTTATTTTTGCTCAATATCACTCCTTCTGTGCTTGTAGTTGGAGACTTGTACCCAAGGTCTTTCATCCTTTAAGAGCTGATCACGGTAATATCCCCAGGTCTAAGGATGGAGAGAATTTCATACTACTGTGAGACTATCGATTTATCAGTTTTTAATACACTAATATGGAGAGCTATAATGCTAACATTTTTGAGTAGTCCAGTGTATCATACTTCTCATTAGCAAAATATGAAGAATTTGGTCATTGAGTCCCACCCTAGAAAGAGCTTCGTAAAAATGTTCTTTCTGTCATTTGGAGATGATGATGATGATCTTGTGAAAGCTACAGTGTTGGGTTTTTTCTACTCCTACTTGCTTTATAAGCAAAAAAGTATTCTTTCTCAAATCTACAATATTTAAAATTTGTAATCAAATTTACAATAATTTTGATACAAAATGGACACTTAGCCTTCACGAATAATCAAGGTGAAAGGTAGCCTATAACTGTATAGTATGGTACAACAGAGGAAAAACTTGGGAGTGGGATATTTTGAAAAGTTTTTTTGAAAAGGTATTTGAAAACAGACAAAACTGAGTTTTTGCTATTGAGTTCTCAGGACTTGCACTTGAGAATTCCCACTTTTTAAAATACCAGTCTGTGTATTAAAAGACTGTATGTGTTTCAGATGTATATTTCAATTATAAAAATCTTCCTTCTCACTAAAACTCTGCACTCCTTTTAGACTGAATACTTCAGGTGGCACAGAAGGATCCATGTCTCCTCTGAAGGCCTCCAAAGTGACGGCAGTTAATTCACCATCTGCAGACAGAATAAGCAGAATTCCCGCATCCTCGGGCCCTAACCTTAAAAGGTTTTTTTGTTCTCATTTTGGTACAAATACTTACTGTATACTACAATGGTTTTCAGCACATATGCAGTCTATGAAGCACTTGCTGATCTTGGGTGTAAGAAGGCTTAAATTTACTTAGAAAGTGATTTGCTGTTCCACTTGCCAAACTTTAGTTGTCTGCAGATTTAAAAAAAACAAGCAAAAACCAAAACCTGTACTACTGGTATGAGAGTTTTGGTGGGACCATACCAAGTCAGAAACAGTATTACATTACTCAGGGTTTGGTTTTGTGTAACGCATCTGAGTTTGTAGAAGTTTTGCAAGTAGTCCCACAAGTCTATATGCTATTAATTGCAGAAGATAACTGAGTGGTAATTAATATTAATTTTATGAACACTTGATTTATTGCTATATTTAATTCCATTATTACTATTGTACTAAGTAATTATGGATGTTAAATGAAATTTAGAATGATGCATTTTTAATAACTTTTTGGGCACAAATATTTACTTGAAAAAAAATAACCAAGAGATATTTCAGGACGCCCTATTTTTATTCTCAAATTTTATCACATTACTTCTTGGTTACCTGAAGACATGTATCATGTTACTGATTTCAGGAAACAGAAGAGGAGTTCTTAAACTGTTACATGTACACAAAATACTTAAAGGTACATCAGCCACTGCCTAGACTTTTTAACATAATCTCCTGCATGTGCATATGGTTTGATGGAGGGGAAAGCTGGCCATGGTAGTGCTTGAATAAAGAAAGTTTGGGAGCACTTGACAAAGAATTCTGGGTCTCATTATTTGAGAGCTAGAAGATGAACCTGTGTGCAAACACAAATTATTTTAGAATGGTCCATGTTATTCACCTAATGTCTTCTGAATTGTCTGTTATTTTTTTTGTATATACCTGTACATACCTTGTGTGTATTTTCTTCCCCACATGTGTTTTCCATTCAGCGTTTCCATAAACTCCAGACTAGCCAGTTCTCTAGGGAACCTGTATGCTGCTTCAGATGATGATGAGAGCAAAATGACATCATTGGCCTCTAGGACAGGTTTTTCTGTAAGCCAACTCTCCAGCCACTTGAATGGCAGCTTGCAGCTGCCACACAGAAATAACCATGAACTGAACAACAACTTATACAACAGAAACAGCAGTAGTGGCAACCTGAGCAGCCAAACCAGTTTTCACAGCGCCGTGACAGACGAGTACACATCAGCCTTCCTTTATGGGCCTTGCAACTCCTCCAGCAATTGACCATACCAGAGTCAATCAATTTCTGTAAGTTCATAGTTACAACAGCACATTCAGGCATCTCACCGATGCTTATCTTCCTTGCTTCTGTGAGCAAAACTGTTGCAAAAAAATCTTAATCCAGCATAATTCTCTGACTTCCTTTAATGTTTCTGAACAGCACCTTTGTCTGTTTCCTTTTTAAGTAATTATCATTTCAGCTGCTTTTTTTTTTTCCCCATCTCTTTCAAGCATCTAGATGATGGAGGGTTCATAAAAATAAATCACTCCTGAACTTCAACTAACACTTTTTCTGATATCTTTTTTTATGGACCTTGTTACCTGTAAGATTTTATTTCAAATTATCCATAATGTTTTTTATAAGTTTATGTATCTTATTCTTCATGCAGTAACAGATTTAAAGAAGCCTTTGATTGTATCGTACTAAACGGAAGGTACAACATTCTTAAAAATAGGGCTCAATTGAAAGATAAGTCCACTTGACTTGAAACCTAGTCCTTTTCTAACACCAAATGTGAAAATTATTTTAGAACAAGATATTTCTCATGGTCTCACCATTTTAGCTTTTATTCAACAACTTTGGCTTGGGCTTATTTTGTGTCATTTTTCTATGTGAAAGAGTCTGTATAAAGAGGATACACGGATAAATTAATGCAACTTGAAAGTGATTCTATACAAAATGTGGAGAAGAGACTAGAGAAACTTCAGTTACGAAACCAGAAATCACTTCAGTTATTTTAGGGGGAAAAAATATTTACTACTATAAATCTAAAACCAATTTAAAATGTCTGGTTTCCAAAGATTTGATGTCCTACTAATTATAAAAATTAGTGCAGTGTTTTTAAAAGAATATATTGCCTACATTTAATTGAGCCTGTCAGCCTCTGTTTAGTAGTACTGACACTTCAGATTTTTCTTTTTTTAACTGCTGGAAATAAAATTACTTTCATATGAAATTAACTTCAGAATATTACACCTTTCCTTTCTGTTTCCTTACCACTGATAAACTGTTTCAGTGTAAAGAAAGTTTTAGTGTTATACCTGCTATGGTTTTTGTGATGAGTCCCCTGTTTTAAAACAGCTAATACACAGATTGCATGTAACTAGGATGTCAGCCAAAAAGATCATTCATGGGTTGTGTTCTCTTTTTCCTGAAAAAGTGGGAGATCTATCCTCTCTTCAACAGCTAGTAGATCGCACCACTTACAGTTCAGAAGCCACATGTTTACATCTTTGGAGTATGAATTGTACTTTCTGAGGATAGATGACAGTAGGAAATAAATTCTCATTGTTTCATTGTGGAATTAAATTGCATGTGTGAATGAAACCTAACTAGTATACAAAGTACATTGAAAATTAAGATAGTTGAGGGAGTTAAAAGTTAAGATAGTTGACTCTGTACTCTGATCAGTTCAATGGATAATTCCACTGGAAAAGGAGTTACTGTGCTAGGATGTGCTTGACCTAAAGCAAGTCTTTAAAATACTTGATGCTTTCAGACTCCTTGTTTGCAAGTATATTTAGCTGTTTATCCACTACAACTTACCTGGAAATAAATGTTAATATTCTATGATCTTAGAATCACTCAGTGTTCTACATTGAGTTTAAATTTGAGTTTAAACTTTATTTTAAACATCAGCAGTAACTTACAACGGACTTCTTGAATATTGCCACATCCTTTCAGTTGTTTTACCTTCTAATTTGGCTGTGGTTGTACCTGCTACATGGACTGAGGTTAAACTATATATAATTGAGATTTTTCTCAAGTTGGATATAGAAACCATCTCAGTTTTCTTATGAATCCAGTTCTAGAACAAGAGAACTGGTTTATTTTAATTCCTCCAGGCATAGAGGTGAGGAAACTGGTAACTTCATTTTCACGTAATGCAAGTACATCTTTCTTCCCTCTGCCCCCTGCACCTCAGTATGGAAGAGAAAGTTATTCAGTAGTCTTTTTTTCTACTGTTTTGTAATGAAACATCAAAAAAAAAAATTAATACTATTGTTCCACATTCCATTTAAAACAAAAAATAACTATGACTTCCTGTTGTCAGCCATATTTTTCCTTCATCAGTGTAAGCTTATAATCCACTTCCTTTATTGCATTTATGCTGTTGTGTGCTGATGAACTAGAAGAAAAGCTTGATTTTCACAGAACAAACAACTTACCATTCTAGCCAAATAGAATAAATATTTTATTTGCAAATTTTACAAATTGGATATTTTGATTAAGCAGAATCTCTCACAATTACAATTTTTGGAAATATTCTTATCAAGTATAATCACATTTAAGGTACCACAATAAAAATTTTACTTTGTTATTACAATAGTTATAAATCCAAATATCACTCTTTTTAAAATGTATTTTTATTGAAGAGTATGTAACTGGGTAGTCTTAAGATGAGTCACCTTTTGCTTCTATAGCTGTCATGGAAACTGGCAAGATGGAAAAATTTAAAAAAAATTGAGAAGTGTAGCAGTATTCTAAAATTCATATACATGATCTTTATACTTGTAGAATAGTTTTTCTTAATATGAACTTACCGCTAATGAATATAGGATGGCCTTTGCAAAAAGAGAAACAAACACAAGTGCATCTTACTGATCTGTAAATTTAGCAGAGTCAAAGGATCACTTCAAGTGCGTATGCCTTTTCTATAATATATCCTGATTTATTTTAGTGGATCTTGTGTATTCACAGTAACTCTTCCCTGCTGCAACAATGTTTTGGGAGACTTGATGCACAATTCAGAAAAGTTAAATTACTTTTTCTAATTACCTGGAAAAAGTGCATGTTCAAGTCCTAATGGATAGCCCTAAATGTTACAGGATTGTTCCCTCTTCAAGGTTAACTCACAGCTGACTTGATCCTGAAGATGAATGCATGACGAACACGGTTCTAGTGTCTAGATGGATCTGTGGCTTATTTTTTCTTCCAGGAGGCTTTCACACCTCCTATTGAAGAAGGAAAATGATAGTGATCTAAGCAGTTGCTTCAGAGTGAACTCCATGAGACATCATTAACTGTAGTGAAGCTATCTAATTTTTAGTTCTTTTATTAAATGTCTGATACTTGGGTCTAAAATGCCAAGCTTGACACTGCGTGGACCACTGTTAGGAGTACACATTGAGAATTCTACTCAATTAACTGATTTTACGCTCTCATCATTGCAATTCAACAATTTTCTTTGGTTTTTTCCCCTCTATTTTTCCCTCTATTTTAATCAGATTTTGTTAAATACCAGCATATGACTTGTAAAGGTGGATTGCGGCTTTCTGCTTGTAATAAAGCTTTCATAATCACAGGCCATACTTTAAGTCACTGCAAATAGAGGAGGTAGGAATGTAAATTTTAAAATAGAAAATCCTGAAAAGATTAAAAAAAAAAAGAGAAAAAAATCACAGTTACAGGCTTTGAAATATTACAGTGAATCTCTTTGGACAATGTGAAGAGAATTAAGAGCACAAATTACTTCACAAAAGAAAAGGGGAAAAAACCCCAAAAACCTCCTAAAACAAACAAACCCCCCAACCTTCCCCAGCTAAAATTTAATTTTTCAAACTCAAAAATTAGCCAAATACTTTACAACAGCTCAGTTGTTACGGCTATCACCATGGTTTTAGTAGTAGGAACTTTATGGGAAGTCACATCAATTAATCTTACCTGGAAAAAATGCTGCTTAGGTTTAATTCTTCCCTGTGTTCAGAAAAAGCTTTGAAACATTAGGAAGAAGTCATTGGTATGTGAAGTAAAGCTATGGTGAGGGTGGGAACACACTGAAAAATATATTTCTCAATTTGAAAATAAATAAAATAAACCCTGCCTACCAATCTGTAATGAAAATTAACAAAACATGCTATCTTGTTTCCAAGCAACCTGTGCTGCATGGATATTTGTTCTTTTTCATATGCTGCCATTAATTTTTTTGTGTTTTTTTGTAACTTGGATTCCTAACAATTTTAAGAGTTTCAGTTTAAACTTTGGAATCCTTAATTTATACTTTGCTTGCTTATTTATTTAACTTAGGATGTAGAATTCCTGGTTACTACTGCCTGCTAAGTAAAGGGCTACTGTTTGTAGTTCTTTGTCAACTAACACTAGCTGTTCCCAAGATTAGCAAGAGTGTACAATGCTTTCTGGTCATCTTGTATCTGTCCAAGCTTAAAGTAATCTATTACTGTACAACATAGAGTATATAATTAAATTTCATGCATTTTTAATGTTTGTTACTCAGCTTTACTTGGAATTCAGTTTTGAAGGATCCATTGCAAATACTGCTCTAGTTAAGTGTAACCATCGTTCTGATTGTTAAAATACACTTCTGAAAATGAGAAAGCTTTGAGGATTATTAAGAGAGCAGAAGTTTCAAGTGCTCATTAATGAAGGGCTGTTCCTTCTGCCTCACTCTTACACATGTAATAAATAGCTAAACAAATGCTCTCACCAAAGCAAATAATCCAGAATTATTATTAGAGAACAGAGTTAGGAAAAATAACCTTCTATGATTGTGTTCCATGGTGATTATGAGCCTATAATGAAAAAAATACTTGGTACATGTTTAGTTTTATAGTAAAGTATTTCCTATTAAATGATACCCTTCATGTTGAATCCATTTAGTACTAACCCCAGACCCTTTTCAGTCAGTGGTATTCAAATCTTTATATGCTGACAGCACTTCTTTTTCAGCCTAGGAAAGAATATCCAGATGGTCTCAGGTCTTGAAGATGTGAAAATACATTTAAAAGACAACTTTGGAAACATACACTGAGATTTAAGATACAGAAAAAAGTGGGTTTGTGCTATTAGAGCTCTAGAGGTTCCCTGTTACACACTACTACTACTAGTACTGTGTTTCACTATGGATGCCAAAGAGGATTTCTAAAGTGACTGGTTAGGAATAGTGGGGAAAATAGAAGAGAAGACTCCGAGGTTCTGAGCTTTCTTGGGATTCATGTTGTTCTCAAGTAGATCTAATTTGGATGAACGGATGCAGTTTTAAAATATAGTTTGCCTTGTTTATTTGCTATTTATAACCATACTAGTACAGCAAAGAGCTCTCTTAGATAAGACTTTTTCTTCATCAGAATGACTTCCTGAACACATCTGTGTAGGAGGTAATAAAAAATGTTTGGATGCTGTCTGAACTTACTAATTACTTAGTAATAAAAACTTAAATAGAACCAGAAATGTAAATAAATAGAGCAGACCAGGTTATGCTTTCCTGTTAATTAGACTGCTTGCTAATCCAGATGAACAATTTGCAGTGCTTCACTTTTGTCTGGGTTTAGTAATCATACATGAATTTATTCATGTGCATAATTGTACTGCTACAGCTTTTTTCTTATTTATCTACACTATGTATGTTTCCTATGTTATTACCTGCATCAACATCTAAAGTATACTGTATTTTTTACAGTAGCACTTTGATTCTCATTCAGGATAAGTGGAAACAATTCAATTATAGTAAATGCAATCATATGTTTTTCCAATACATTTTTAAGACATTGTTTTAAGGTGGTGTTTTAAAAAAATTGTAACACTTTTCTTCAAGAATCTCTAGAATTTGGTTTGGAAAAGTGAGTGTAGATACAGAAAAGTTGATGGACTTTACCATATCTAGTGTTTGAGTTTTTTCTAATTTATTCATATTTACCTATGCAGAGATCCAACTCTGTTCATTTTTCTTCTTCCTGTCCTTCCTCTGCTCCTTAAGTGCAAAATGCATGTTATATACAAGCATGACATCCCCAGTGAGTTTTAATCAGTTTTTCTTCTTTGCACAGTCCCTTCAGTCTGAGTATGTTCAGTACTAAAGCCTTGCTGCTTTGGTGAAACCTGTTGAGCTCTTAAAATCGAAGTCCTTCACGAAGGAGAACTTAAGGAAGGAATCTGCGCACTCAGAGGAATCTTCAAGACAACATATTAAAACCTTACCACCAAGAGGCGACTTCTTAACAGGCAGAAATTTCTTGTTAATGACTACTGCAGATGCACTGAATTTATGAAAATTATTTTACTTTGTTATACACAGATTTAAATTTTTAATGTTGACAGCTTGAATATATTTCTAATGAGTTTCATTAAGGCATTTATTAATATTTGTACAGTGTTAAAATATGTATTAAGAGAATATTTTGGTAATCAATATATATAAAGATATGTAAAAATTAGAATATATTTAATTTAGTGTTCACCACTTTGCTACAAAAATGTATATTTTAAAGAATTTTTACATGTTTATCAAAGATGAAAATTTTTTTATGAACAAGATGTTTTTCTTGGTTTATGGGTCCATCATTATTGCTGAAAGCCTAATGGTCTTCTGGTAACTTAACGGAAGTCTTAACTAGTGAGAGGCTAGTTATCACGCTATCAACTGAAAGCACTTGATACATAGTCTGCTTTCCACTTTCAGCTGCTAATGTTTCATAAGGAAACACTATGAAAGAAAAAATAAAAGGAAAGTATTTGTTGAGATGCAATGTAACTTACATCTTCCATTGCAAAGAGGAAGTAATTTATCTGATGATTCAATTGTACAATTAACGCTTTCTTTCAATTTGTCTTAAAGGAACTTTTTCTTTTTAATGTACAATGCTAAATTTTGCTATGCAATATATACTGCAAAGATGAAGACAGACCAAACTTAAGTTGGTAAGAATGTGTATGTATAATGAATTTGGCAGTGCTGCGCGCTTACATGTTTTTAACCTACGTTTGGCAATACATGTACAGTTTCATTAGTAAAGCATACTAAAGTAAATGTTGGAAGTATTAAATTTTCACTTATCAATTGGATGCTTCATAAACTTTTTAATTTGAAAATTATTGTTAAACATACAACTAAGGTAACCTCCTGTATCACAGAATATTTTTATCAGTTGTAAAGATGCTCTTTAACATATAGTTTAATCAGGTGTGATTAGAGATGAGACTTAGAATGAAGTGGTATTACAGTGAAGTACTAGAGATCACGTGTAAAATTTTCAGAACCCCACAAGTGCATAGTAAGCAAAAAAAAAAAAAAAAGGACTTGATTTGCTATTAATTTAGAAGACAAAAAACAGATTTGTTACCTATGAGTTTTTCCGATACCTGTGGAAACTTGAAAATAAAATTTGGTTGAATTGTCAGTCTTTGTTCCTGAGGACCTGGGAATGCCTTGCATCTGCTTTACAACTGAAGTTAAGATAAAGTGCCACATTCTTTTTTTTTTTAAAAAAGATCAGATCACAAATTGCTATGGGAAGTTGTACTGAAAGTGTTAATAAGCAATACTGAGAGCAGCTATATAAATCACTGAATAAAATTACATGTAATACTGTACTTTTTTCACAACTGTGTATATGTAACATATACACACACAAAGTAGCATATGTGTGTGCATATATATACAATATACTGTATATGAATTCTAGATTAATGGTAAGGTAATTCTACCTCTTATCAAGAATTTTGTCATGTACTTTGTTATAAATAGTTTTCCTTAATAAAATATTGTTTAATTTTGAAAATGTAGAGATATATATACATACAGCTAATTGATAATAAAATGTCTGTATCAGCCAGCTTCCCTGTTTCTTGGCTTTTCTTACTTAGATCTTCTGATGTAAACTAGTATAATTAGATCTCTAATTGAAGAGTAGCTCTTCAAAATCACCTTCTAAAGCATGCTAAAGATGACGTTGCAAAAAGACATCAGTATGTCAGATCTCTTTTACAACTCATCTCTCTAGCTAACCTTCTTGTATTTGCTTTGTATAACATCAAGTATTTAATCAACATATTGACAATATGATATAAAGGTTGTAATTCAAAAAATCATGATTTAAAAGCTGTGTCTGAATTGAGGAAACTTTCTTTAATTTTCCTGGACAAGGACCCTTGTTAAAGGTGTAATATACTCTGTCTTTTTTGTATGTGCAACAAGCTGCTTAATCTCACTAACAGCATGGTCTTTGTCCATAAGAACTTAAAAGATCATGCTTTCATTTAGCTTTTTATTGTTCCTTCAATTAAAAACCAGTCACAAGTGGTTCTAGCATTGTTTAACTGCTGCTGATTTTCAACAAATTTGTGTTGCATGATTATTTATCTACGGTGCTTAATATTCCTCTCAGATAAGTCTGTACTGCAATAGATGATGTGGACAGTAACTGTAACACTGCCACTCTAAAGGAATGGCAAAGCCAGAAATAGAGCAGATGCTTTAGAAGTTACCCAAATTCTAGTGACAATCTAAAAACACAATAAAAGGCTTCTGCCACTACATTCAGACAACTAATGGATGCTGATTTGGATGTGTAGTGTAAATATAAAGGAAGAATAGCTAATTAAAAAGTTTCTAGTATGTAGGCATCAACATCTCCTTTAGCCTTTTTCTGGACTTATATTGATACAAAATACAGTAAATGCCAGCTAATGTACAACATATTTTTTGTTCTTAAAAATGAATTATGAATATAGCCAGTATTCTGTAACAATCAGCTTCTTAACAACAAAATTGGGGACAAGGAAAGGTAAAGGAGGTCTTCAGAACCGCAGCTTTTAAGAAATACCACCAAATTTGTTTCATATCCTCTGTTCACTTATCCTTGAACTTTACCATTTCTGTTGCTTCATATACAAATATTTCTCCTTGTTCTGGGAGAACAAGCTGTAGCACATGAGATCTTTAAAAAGAGATTTAACAAACACGTAAGGCTGGATTCAATAAATCCAGAGATCTCTACTGGGTCTGTGAGTCTGTGGCTAACACCTTATGAAAATTAATCTTAAGTATTTTCAAGTATGCTATATGAAGCTTTTTGGTTAGGGAGGTATTTCTTGTTACAGATTTAGAGAATATTTTTCAATTACAGTACTGCAGAAAGAGGAGGATTTTAGTTTCTATAATGACTGTTCTCTACTGACAGCTAAACAATGAAAGGCCTCAAAAGGTTTGACACTTGATTAGATCTACACTGCAAAGTGCAGCAGGCAAAAAAATATGGTAATTAAGGGCCTGATCAAGTAAATCACTCAGGTATGTCTTTAACCTTAAGCACATGAGCAATCTGATTGATGAAAAAAGAACATAAGATATTCGTGTTTGTAACAAATCCACATCTGGATCAATAGTCCTGTCAATTGCAAACATGAGCCTTTCTGTCAATAAATGATGTGCTATATGGCAACAATAATCCATTGACCCCCCCACAAATTAACTTCATTATTTTAAAGAATGTATATTGTAACTATAATTACTTCCTAATACATTATTTTGGTATTGTTGTTTGTTAGCATTGTGAGTTTAACAATATCTAAAAACACCTCATAGAGATATCTTTGGTCACTGTACAGGTCATACCTTTTGTGGGCTACAGAAGTAAGCAATCTCAGCTCATACAACCCACCTGTAAAAGCAGCTTTTCTCCTGAACTCACCACAAAATTAATCAGTATTCCTTTTCTGGAAAGCTTTTGAAAGGAAATGTAAGTTCTTTTACTCAGTTTCTTATTAAATCTTGTCCAAGGGAAGGAAAGTTAACATTTTGTCCCTGTTTGAGTAAAGTGCTCTAGAGTTCTTGGGAGAATCCCACTACTAACTCTTCTACATTAGGACTGCTAAGCCCTGCTCTTCAACCAGTGTTTAGTCCGCCTAAGAACCTGTCATTCACCTCTGCGGTAACTTGTCCTCTGTATTAATTTCTGTGCGAGACAGTTTCAAACACTACACTGATTCTGTTTTACCTGTGTACTTACTGACACCAGTGTTCACCTTTGGTGAGTTGGTGATGCAGGATTTCCTGCAGGTTGAGCTTTATGAAGAAATGATGAGTATGTAAACTGAGGACCAGCTTCCTCAAATAAGTACTACTGTCTTACCAAGGATCTGGGTATCTATCATGTTTGAAAGATTTAATTTGGAAAGTGTATTTTTATTATAGACCGGTTCTAAAATTAACTTTAAGCTTGCAAAAGCATAGTGCGCTTCCTCTTAACAAAAATAAGATCAGAAAAAAACAGTTTGAATATCTAGCAGAGGAGTTTCTACAGTAAATGGATTGTATTTCAGACAGAAGTAACTGATACTGGTTTGAAAGCTTGCTGCAAATTAAATTTGTGTAAATGGGTTAGAACCAGAAAACTGGTAAGGCAACAAGAAAAGTCAGACTGTACTTGCAGTATTTCTGGAGCATGATAGGGTTTTGGTGGGGTTTTTTTTCCCTTCCTTGATTTAACAAGTTGAAAATCTGCTGAATAATTCATGAAGAGTGGAAGGGCTGTATCTTCCTGGAATGATATACAGTGTACGTACTGTGGCACAGAAGAAACTGCAAAGCTTTGTATCAGTTGCTGCCGTTTCTGCTGCTGATTGTAAGGTGCTGCTGCTTTTCGCATTTTCACTGCTACAGAATCCTCAGTCGTGCTCTGGTCTGCTAACAGCTGTCTGCTCCCTATGGACCCACCTTCGCTACCTACAATCTGTGGGATCTCTTACTACCTACCTGCCTCAGACACTGCTGTTCTCTGGATCGTTCCTGCAAACTGCCTTTTCTGGACCTTGCAGCTTGTATGACTGAAACCTGCCTGAGAGTCCCTCAGCTGCACATCCTCGTGCTTGGTGAGGGACTCCTGCGGCAGGATCTTCTGACCCAGACAAGGATGGGATTTACAGGGAGAAGTCAAAACTGAGCTGCATTCAGCGAGATGCCCAACGCCTCTTCCTGGACTGCTAGCTCGCCTCTGCTGCTGCTCTGGGAGGATTCCTCTGGGACTCGTATCTTCCTGTCGCTGCTCTATGCAGTCTTAGCTATCTCAGGGACTTTGTCCAATGTGATGGTCATCTATTTAGTCTTTTCCTTCAAGAAGCTGCAGACAACCAGTAATGCCTTCATTGTGAATGGCTGTGCAGCAGACCTAAGCGTTTGTGCCCTGTGGATGCCCCAGGAGGCTGTGCTGGGGCTGCTGCCTCCCAACTCCTCCTCCCTTCACTCGGTGGAGTACCGGCTGCTCCGAGGGGGGCTCCTCGGCCTCGGCCTCACCGTCTCCCTGGCCTCTCACCTGCTGGTGGCCTTCAACAGGTACGTGCTCATCACCAAGCTGCCCAGCGTGTACCAGGCCCTTTACCAGCGGAGGCACACGGGCTGCATGATCGGGCTTTCCTGGGCCCTCGCCCTGCTCCTAGTTCCGCTGCTGCCCGGGCTCTGGACCCCGGGCTCTGCCCAGCAGCTGCCCCTGCGGCAGACGGACGGCAGCTCTCGCTACACCGCCCTGCTCCTCGCCCTGGCCGTGCTGGGCCAGACC